GATATGAGAATTGCTACTCCAGCTTTCTTTTGGTTTCCATTTGCATGAAATACCTTTTTCCATCCCCTTACTTTCAGTCTGTATGTGTCTCTAGGTCTGAAGTGGGTCTCTTGTAGACAGCATATATAAGGGTCTTGTTTTTGTATCCATTCAGCTAATCTGTGTCTTTTGGTGGGAGCATTTAGTCCATTTACATTTAAGGTAATTATAGATATGTATGTTCCTATTCCCATTTTCTAAATTGTTTTGGGTTCGTTATTATAGGTCTTTTCCTTCTCTTGTGTTTCTTGCCTAGAGAAGATCCTTTAGCATTTGTTGTAAAGCTGGTTTGGTGGTGCTGAACTCTCTCAGCTTTTGCTTGTCTGTAAAGGTTTTAATTTCTCCATCAAATCTGAATGAGATCCTTGCTGGGTAGAGTAGTCTTGGCTGCATGTTTTTCTCCTTCATCACTTTCAGTATGTCCTGCCACTCCCTTCTGGCTTGTAGGGTTTCTGCTGAGAGATCAGCTGTTAACCTTATGGGGATTCCCTTATGTGTTATTTGTTGTTTTTCCCTTGCTGCTTTTAATATGCTTTCTTTGTATTTAATTTTTGACAGTTTGATTAATATGTGTCTTGGCGTATTTCTCCTTGTATTTATCTTGTATGGGACTCTCTGTGCTTCCTGGACTTGATTAACTATTTCCTTTCCCATATTAGGGAAGTTTTCAACTATAATCTCTTCAAATATTTTCTCAGTCCCTTTCTTTTTCTCTTCTTCTTCTGGAACCCCTATAATTCGAATGTTGGTGCGTTTAATGTTGTCCCAGAGGTCTCTGAGACTGTCCTCAGTTCTTTTCATTCTTTTTTCTTTATTCTGCTCTGCAGTAGTTATTTCCACTATTTTATCTTCCAGGTCACTTATCTGTTCTTCTGCCTCAGTTATTCTGCTATTGATCCCATCTAGAGTACTTTTAATTTCATTTATTGTGTTGTTCATTGTTGCTTGTTTCATCTTTAGTTCTTCTAGGTCCTTGTTAACTGATTCTTGCATTTTGTCCATTCTATTGTCCATTCTATCTCCAAGATTTCGGATCAACCTTACTATCATTATTCTGAATTCTTTTTCTGGTAGACTGCCTATTTCCTCTTCATTTGTTAGGTCTGGTGGGTTTTTATCTTGCTCCTTCATCTGCTGTGTGTTTTTTTGTCTTTTCATTTTGCTTATCTTACTGTGTTTGTGGTCTCCTTTTTTGCAGGCTGAAGGTTCGTAGTTCCTGTTGTTTTTTGTGTCTGTCCCCAGTGGCTAAGGTTGGTTCAGTGGGTTGTGTCGGCTTCCTGGTGGAGGGTACTAGTGCCTGTGTTCTGGTGGATGAGGCTGGATCTTGTCTTTCTGGTGGGCAGGTCCACGTCTGGTGGTGTGTTTTGGGGTGTCTGTAGACTTATTATGATTTTGGGCAGCCTCTCTGCTAATGGGTGGGCTTGTGTTCCTGTCTTGCTAGTTGTTTGGCATAGGATGTCCAGCACTGTAGCTTGCTGGTCGTTGAGTGAAGCTGGGTGCTGGCATTGAGATGGAGATCTCTCGGAGATTTTTGCTGTTTGATATTATGTGCAGCTGGGAGGCCTCTTGTGGACCAGTGTCCTGAAGTTGGCTCTCCCACCTCAGAGGCACAGCACTGACTCCTGGCTGCAGCACCAAGAGCCTTTCATCCACAGGGCTCCTTAATTTGGGATGATTTGTTGACTATTCAGGTATTCCACAGATGCAGGGTATATCAAGTTGATTGTGGAGCTTTAATCCGCTGCTTCTGAGGCTGCTGGGAGAGATTTCCCTTTCTCTTCTTTGTTCTCACAGCTCCCAGGGGCTCAGTTTTGGATTTGGCCCCACCTGTGCGTGTAGCTCGCCGGAGGGCGTCTGTTCTTTGCTCAGACAGGATGGGGTTAAAGGAGCCGCTGATTCGGAGGCTCTGGCTCACTCAGGCCGGGGGGTAGGGAGGGTCACGGAGTGTGGGGCGGGCCTGCAGCGGCAGAGGCCGGCATGACGTTGCAGCCTGAGGCGCGCTGTGCGTTCTCCCGGGGGAGTTGTCCCTGGATCCCGGGACCCTGGCAGTGGCGGGCTGCACAGGCTCCCCGGAAGGGCGTGTGGCTAGTGACCTGTGTTCGCACACAGGCCTCCTGGTGGCGGCAGCAGCGGCCTTAGCGTCTCATGTCTGTCTCTGGGCTCCGCACTTTTAGCCGCGGCTCGCGCCCGTCCCTGGAGCTCTCTCAAGCAGCGTTCTTAATCCCCTCTCCTCGTGCACCAGGAAACAAAGAGGGACGTAAAAGTCTCTTGCCTCTTCAGCAGGTCCAGACTTTTCCCCGGACTCTCTCCCGGCTAGCCGCGGTGCACTAACGCCCTGCAGGCTGTGTTCACGCAGCCAACCTCAGTCCTCTCCCGGCGCTCCGACAAAAGCCGGAGCCTCAGCTCCCAGTCCCGCCCGCCCTGGCGGGCGAGCAGACAAGCCTCTCGGCTGGTGAGTTCCGGTCGGCCCGATCCTCTGCGCTGGAATCTGTCCGCTTTGCCCTCCGCACCCCTGTTGCTGTGCTCTCCTCCGCGGCTCCCAAGCTCCCCCACTCCGCCTCCCGAAGTCTCTACCCGCGAAGGGGCTTCCTAGTGTGTGGACACTTTTCCTCCTTCACAGCTCTCTCCCGCTGGTGCAGGACCCGTCCCTATCCTTTTGTCTCTGTTTAGTTTTTTCTTTTGCCCTAACCAGGTACGTGGGGGGTTCCTTGCCTTTTGGGAGGTCTGAGGTCTTCTGCCAGCGTTCAGTAGGTGCTCCGTAGGAGTTGTTCCACGTGTAGATGTATTTCTGGTGTATCTGTGGGGAGGAAGGTGATCTCCGCGTCTTACTCTTCCGCCATCTTCCCGGAAGTCCTCTGGGTCTTCATTCTCAATTGGAGTTTAAAATCACTTTGAACTAAAGCTGACGTTGGAGTTCTCTTTCCATAAGGGAAGTTGTTAGGACTCTGGACATTAATGCCACCTGAAGTCTGCTGTATTGTAGAGGTGATTTTTTCAGGTCACTCTTAGACTGGATCAACAAATATAGTGTATACGTACATAATCATGTCACCATAGTGCACATTGTAAAGGGCACTTAATAAGGCTATATTCTCTTTTGCTGATTCCAGATCTATTTCTACTGGATCTACAGGGAGACAGGTGCGTTTGCTTGGTTCAATGACCTATTGGTTTCCCTGGAACAGGAGATGGAGGAATTAGGCAAAGTGGGTTTCCTAAACTACTGTCTTTTCCTCACCGGATGGGACTGCAACTTTGTGAGTTCAAACAACAGACTAATTCCCAAGATGCAAGATGAATGTCAGACGAAACATAATGCATGCTGATTAGAAATAATCATTTCCTATGATTTCCTACCTGTTCTCACCTTCACACCCAAGTTTAAAAGTGGCTGAAGGAAGAGGCAGCTATCAGGACCTGCTTTTTCTAACTTCCTATTTCTCTGACTCCAGGCTGGTCATGCAGCATTAAGCTTTGACAAGGCCACTGATATCCTGACAGGTCTGAAACAGAAAACCTCCTTTGGGAGACCTATGTGGGACAATGAGTTTTCTACAATAGCTACCACCCACCCCAAGTAAGTGTATTCTCTTCTAGTTACAGAATTGATTTTGCAGAACTGATTCATTTTGCAGATTTAGGTTTAGGACAAGTATTACAGCATGTTGAACACTCTTGGGAAAGATCTCTGGGGCCAAAACTATTTGCACCAATCTTAGATTCTTGCTTAAAAGTGAGGAAATTTCCTGTGGCGTTTCAGCGAAATAAGGGTCTTGATCTTGTAATTGACGAGAAGACATTTGTTGTCCCCACATGCATTCAAACAGTGAGGCAAAGAGACTGAGTTCTGGTTGTCTTACCAAACAAAATAGAGAACGGGAACAATTCAAATGCACTGTTTTGGGCCAAAGCAATTCTGAGGAAAAAGAACAAAGCTGGAGGCATAAGCCTCCCAGACTTTAGATAATACTACAAAGCTGTGGTAATCAAAACAGCTTGGTACTGGCACAAAAGCAGATATATAGATCAGTGGAACAGAATAGAGAGCCCAGAAATAAACCCACACACTTACAGCCAATTAATCTTCAATAAAGTAGGCAAGAATATACAGTGGAGATAAGACAGTCTTTTCAGCAAGTGGTGTTGGGAAAGCTGGACAGCCTCATGTAAATCAATAAAGTTAGAACACTCCCTTACACTATACACAAAAATAAACTCAAAATGACTTAAAGACTTAAATATAAGACATGACACCATAAAACTAGAAGGGAACCTAGGCAAAACATTCTCAGACATAAACTGTAGTAATATTTTCTTAGATCAGTCTCCCAAGGCAAAAGAAATAAAAGCAAAAATAAACAAATGGGACCTAATCAAACTTAAAAGCTTTTGCACAGTAAAGGAAACCATAAACAAAATGAAAAGACAACCTACAGACTGGGAGAAAATATTTTCAAGCAATGCAGCTGACAAGGGCTTACTTTTCAAAATATACAGACAGCTCATACCACTCAATATCAAAAAAGAAAAAACAACCCTATCAAAAAATGGGCAGAAGACCTAAACAGACATTTCTCCAGAGAAGACATACAGATGGCCACCAGGCACATGAAAAGATGCTCAACATCGCTAATTGTTAGAGAAATGCATATCAAAACTACAATGTGAAGTTTCACCTCACACCAGTCAGAATGGCCACCATCAAAAAGTCTACAAGTAGTACATGCTGGAGAGGGTGTGGAGTAAAGGGAACCCTCCTACAGTGTTGGTGGGAATGTAAATTGGTGCAGCCACTATGGAAAACAGTATGGAGGTTTCTTTAAAAAACTAAAAATAGGGCTTCCCTGGTGGCGCAGTTGTTGAGAGTCCGCCTGCCGATGCAGGGGATGCGGGTTCGTGCCCTGGTCCGGGAAGATCCCACATGCCGCGGAGCGGCTGGGCCCGTGAGCCATGGCCGCTGAGCCTGCGCTTCCGGAGCCTGTGCTCCGCAACGGGAGAGGCCACAACAGTGAGAGGCCTGCGTACCACAAAAAAAAAAAAACCCTAAAAATAGAGTTACCATATGATCCAGCAATCCCACTCCTGGGCACATATCCAGAGGAAACTCTAATTCGAAAAGATACATGCACCCCAATGTTCATAGCAGCATTATTTACATGGAAGCAACCTAAATGTCCATTGACAGATGACTAGATAAAGAGGATGTGATACACACACACACACTCACACACACACAATGGAATACTACTCAGGGACTTCCCTGGTGGTCCAGTGGTTAAGAATCCACCTTCCAATGCAGGGGATGTGGGTTCAATCCCTGGTTGGGGAACTGGGATCCCACATGCCGTGGGGCAACTAAGCCCGCGTGCTGCAACTACTGAGCACACGGGCCACAACTAGAGAGAAGCCTGAGTACGGCAATGAGGAGCCCCCACGTGCCGCAGTGGAGGATCCCGCAAGCCGCAACGAAGATCCTGCATGCCACAACCAAGACCTGACACAGCCAAAAAATAGATAATAAGATAAGTAAAAAATAATAAATTTCTTTAAAAAAAAAAGGAATACTACTCAGATAATGCCATTTGCAGCAACATGGATGGACCTAGAGATTATCATACTAAGTGAAGTAAGTCAGACAAAGACAACTATTATATAATATCACTTATATGTGGAATCTAAAAAAATGGTACAAATGAACTTATTTACAAAACAGAAACGGAGTCACAGACATAGAAAACAAACTTATGGTTACCAAAGGGGAAAGGGGAGGGGGAGGGATAAATTGGGAGTATTGAATTAACAGATACACACCACTGTATATAAAACAGATAACAAGGATTGTAACATATACCACAGGGAAGTAATAACCTATAATGGAAAAGAATCTGAAGCTGTACACCTGAAACTAACACAATATTGTAAAAGTCAACTACAATTAAATTTTAAAAAATGCATTGTTTTGGGCCTTAATGACCTCTACTTAAAGTAACAAGGGTTTGGAGTGTATTAACTAGTTAACTGATGACCTGACCTCAGTTTTCTGAGGGGTTCTGAGACATGCTAGAGCATGAAAATCAGCCATAAAATAAGCTATTCCAATGGGAAGATTAAGCTGATCGTATTAGATAAATCCTTGGAACAAGTTGGCAGGTGAAGATCAGTTCAATTCCACAAACATTATTGGTTACCTTCTATAGGGTACAGCACACACTATTCTAAAAGATTTGGAGGTTGAAAGAAAAATAGGATATGGTTCTTGCCTTCAAGGAGCACACATTTTAACAAGAGATGCATATAATCAACTCAAGCAGAATGATGCACTCCATGAAGCAGGTACATGGACACGGAGAAAAAGTCTATGTCCATATGGGGTGATCAGGAAAGGCTTCAGGAAGGCAGCGGAGAGAACACTTAGTGACTCAGATTCAGATGATCCTGGGTCCTACTGCTAGTTCTGACACTTTCTAGTTCTGGGACCTTGAGCTACAAAGCCCTCTGATCTTCAGATTCCTCATATGTAAAATGGGGGTTTATATTAGTAAGCGCCTGCTCTACTCACTTGCAGGATTGTCGTGAATAATAAGCAAGACAATATATTAAAAATGTTCTGTAAACTGTAAAACAGCATATAAACAAAAGAGACTATGTTAATTATTGTGTCGGGTTGATGATAGTTGAAGTTGTATTAAGGAATGCGTACATTATGTGGGAAGGGAGAAAGATGAGCCAGGGAAGAAGTAGGAGAATGTGTAGAAGCAGTATCACAGAAGCCAAGGGAGGAAATACTAGAGGAGTATTGTCAACAGGGTTGGAGGAGTGGCAGGGTCCAGGAAATACATATTTAGTTTAAGGATGATCTAAGCATATTTATAGACAGATCAGGAGACAGTAGATAGGAATAAAATAAACATACAAAAGGGGAGACAGGACTAGGATGGCCATAATAAAAGGGCAATAACAAGAGTTGGCGAGGAAATGGGGAAACTGTAGGCAAGTTCCTCCCACGTTGCTTATGGGAATGTGAAACAGTGCAGCACTTTAGGAAAACTCTGGCATTTCCTCAAAATGTTAAACATAGAATCACCACATGACCCAGCAATTTCACTCCTAAGTACATACCCAAGAGAAATGAAAACATATGTCCACACAAAAACTTGTATGTGAATGTATGTAAAATAGCCAAAAAGTGGTAACAACCCAAGTGTCCACCAACAGATGAATGGATAAACAAAATGTGGTATATTCACACAAAGGAATATTATTCAGCTGTAAAAAGGAATGAAGTATATTACATGCTACAACATGAAGGAACCTTGAAAACAGTATGCTAAGTGCAAGAAACCAGACACAAAAGGCCACATATTGTATGATTCCATTTATATGAAATGTTCAGAATAGGCAAATCTAGAGACAGAAAGTATACTTGATTGTCTAGGGCAGGGAGTGGGGGCGGTTGGGAGGAAATGGGGAGTGACTGCTAATGTGTATGGGCTTTCTTTTTGGGAAGATGGAAATGTTCTCGGATTAGATAGTGGTGATGGTTGCACAACTTTGCGGTTATACTAAAAAGCACTACCTGCACACTCTAAAAGGGTGAATGTTAAGTCATGTGAATTATGTCTCAAGTGAAAAAGAGGGGAGAGGAAGGTATGAGGGAAGGAAGGACAGGGTGAGACCCAGAGCCTAGTTAGAAAGATTATCCTTGGCAATAAGAACCACCACCTCTTCAGTGTGAGAAAACACTGGATGGATTTAATGGCAGCTAACATATGCACTTGCTATATGCCAGGCATTTTTCTAATTGCTTTACATATGTTATTTTTGTTTAAACCTTCAAACAACCCTGTGAGGTGGATACTATCCCATTTTACAGGGGGGAATATTGAAACACAGAGAGGTTAAGAAACTTGCCTAAAGTCACACAGCTGGGACAAATGTCAGAACAGGGATTGGAACCTAGACAGCCTGGCTTCAGAGTCTAGTACTTCATCAGTGCACTGCACTCCATCTCCTGTCTGTGCTCAATAGAGTAGGCAAGGCTGAGTGCTGAGAGGGTTAAGAGTTGGGAGCATATTTGGGGCTTGCAAGCGGAAAAGGTGAGAAGACGAACATGAAGAACATGAAAAAGTCAATAACTGAATTTTTATGTAAGGTTGTTGGGAGTAGTAGAGGCCTAGCAGAGGCAGAAACCATTCCCTCAAACATTGTCAGCAGCCTTTGCTGCATTCTAACTCTGGCTACCATTCTATTCTTGCAGGTCGGCGGTGGGAGTCTTCCTATGTGGTCCTCAGACTTTGGCAAAGAGCCTGTGCAAATGCTGTCATCAGTACTCCAGCCTGGATCCTAGGAAGGTTCAATTCTACTTCAACAATGAAAATTTCTGAATTATAAGAATAAGGATGGCAATCTGCATTTAGCCTCTGTATCTTCAACAATTTACTTGGTCTGGTCAGGTTTGGGCAACCACTTAAGGACAATAACATGTTTCTTTCAAGCCTTGACTCCCTGGTATTCTTTTTTGATTGGACTCAACTTCGTCATCACTGAGCTTCATGGACCTAAGAACTTCAGAAGTCACAATAATTGCAAAGCCCATGGATCCTTTCTCGGGAAAACAACTGTAAATCCTTCTGGAATGCCATGATTGAAACAAGGCTTGATGGGAGACGTGGTTGACAGTTACACAATTTAACTCCAGGTGATTTTGTTGATTCCAAGTGTTACTGTCTCCTGGACTCTGGGTCACATTCTCCTCTCCCTCCCACCCACAAAGAAGATTTCTAAGTAGGGTGATTTTTTTAAATAAAAATTTATTAAAGAATTAATGACAAAACATAATAATAAGCATAAATAGTAAAACAACAAACATAGAATTACCAAGAACTCAATACCTATATAACACTATATACATTCTTACTGTTAAACATGGTCTTATCCAGTGTGAACAGCAATTTATGCTTTACTTATTTTTGCTTGTCAAAAAATGAAGGATTTTCTTCTTTGCTTAATGAATAAATCTTTTGTTACTTTACCTAGGCTCTCCATTTGGGAAAGAAAATCTTGGAAGTATGCTAATCATAATTGAAATTGTATTATAACTGAAAGTCAGTTATGTTGTCATTAGCTTGCATTGTTCTGTTGGAAATAATTGTGAAAACTTGAACTCCATCTTAGGATGATTATTTAGTCAACAAGGATTCTTTATTGCCATTTTTATCAAGGGGTTTTATTAATGTCTATTCTTAAAAAAAGATAATTTAAAATTTTGACAACACATTTTTTGGCTCATATATACCCATTCATTAAGGAATCATTCACCTAATGACATCAGCAAAATGCCTTTTCTTTCTCCTATTGAAATGCTTTTTATTTATTCCATTCACCTGGCTCTGGGATGTCAGTAGTCACAGTGAAACAGTAGAACGAAAGAAGATCGGGGCCCTTAAAAGAGGAAAAATAATCCACATTTCTTTGTGCCCAAAGACAATTCAAATCACTGGATTTACAAGAATGTTTTTACTGAATCAACATTATAGCACCTATTTCTCTACCATTAAGTGAGCAAAAATGAATAAATGATTGTTTCTAATTATCCAGAAACCTACATGACTTGAAAGATTAGTAAAACCAATCTTTTCAGTCACTAGTTTGAACAAAATAAAGGTAGGTCATGAACTCATGGTAGCTAATTGTGTTTCATTTATTAACTGGACATCAGGAAAAAATACTAATGGATGTTTCCATGGGAATAGATTGGGATACCCCTGCTGTTACCAATTTCCCGGATTTCAGCTAATTTAAATTTAATAAGGCTTTAGGAACATGCACAATGGAACCTTGATGATATGGTTCCTACTAGACAACTGTTGACCAAATTATAATTTGATCTTCAGTGAGTTTGATTTGGAATCTTAGTGTTCTTGAAACTTATAATGAGTTCCTAAGGAGAAAGGCTGTACTCTTGGTCTTAATGTCTAAATATATTGACACTTCAAGATATGACTGCTGCTAAAATCAACATATCAAGGCCTAGAATGTTCATGGAAGTAGGCAGAAAAGGTAATGATAATAAATCCTACACATAATCAACATCTAAGCCTGAACTGGGGATGAGCAAGATACCTAGAAAGCTCCTCAGCTGTTTTGAGCAAGTTTTTCTTCCTAGGTTGTAATATCAAATATCTTATTCAGCAAATTTTTGTTGCAGTAAATGTTTACATATCAGAGTAGAAAATCCCTCAATTTTAATGTCTCTCATAAAGTTGATTATCTTTGCATTCTTTTGCTTCACAGGTAAGCAATATGCTATTACATTCTCTAAGCCTATGGCAGGCTTTTAATTCACTTGACCATAATCCTAACCCAGAGGCTAGGACTCTGTGAACATAAATAGGCTCAGGAGTAGTTCCAGTGGAACTTTACTAATTATTAAGGCACCTCTTAACCTCTTGAGGTTGGCCTGATGGAGAGAAATCATGTTTCTCCTTAATGCCACTATGAGAGAGAATACTAGGCTGGAAGAGCAATAGGTTAGAGCCAGTGGCACTGATTATGTTCACACCTGTTTGAAAGGAAGCAGGCAGGGGCAGGCCTAAAGGGCAATCTCACAGCTTATGCTCTACATTTGGTCCTCTTAAAATAAATGAGAAAAATGTAAAAGTTTTAGAGTTTCTATGTTTTAGTTTCCCAGAATAAATTTGGTCACTGGGTAGGGCTGTAGGTTAGTAATTATTTAGAAGGCAGGATGAAATGTATTTTGTTTGTTTGATTTCTGTTCAGTGTTTATTTCACCTTGAACATGTGAAAAATTAGTGGCTTTCTTAACTTTTAAGGTTGACTACCCAGACTTAAGAGTTTTAAAACAGACAAGAAAATGTCAACAGTTTCTTGTGTTGTTGACACACTCAAACCAGTGATCATACATCATCTTTGTCTTAACTCTGAACTATGCATGTGAATAGACTTGGTACTGACCAAAAAATACATTTTGATATTTGGATTTTTCTAAACTAAATACACTGCTCTCCTAGGTAGGCTCTTTGCATTGTTGGCCTTCTGACCATTTTACAGCTCTAAGCACATGCTATTGTCTCCCAGTAGACTCAGAAGTTCTAGCAAGCTCTCAAAGGGCAAATATTATTCCTGTTGGAAGCAAACTAAGCAGAACTAAGTTCCAGAAAACACTGTTTCTGAGAAATTCTCAAATATCATCAAGAAGAATAAATGGTTAACTTAAAAGGAAAAACAGAGCTATGGCAACATAATATTAAAGTACAATACTGCAGTAAGGGTAGAAAACACATGTAAGGTTTCACCCTTGGTGTTCAGCCTTTTAAAAGCAAAAAGGTCATGTATATCAATTTGCAGTATACTAAAATTGTGTTCAAAGTTTATTTCAAGTCACAGAAAACATACAAACTAAGTCAACAGAATGAACTGATTTTGTTCTGAGAGAAGGTGATGGGAGTCCTCCACCTGGCACCAATTTGAGTCATTCAAGGGTTAGGATGCAGAATTCTTCTTTTTGCAACATTTCAACAAAGTTATGGAATTAATTTCCAGATTTGTTGCCAGGTAGTTTTGAAAACCTGTAAGGAAAAGTTGGGAGAAAGCCATCAGAAGTGGAGACAAAGTTCTCTTCCCCAAACACCAGGAAAAAAAAAGTAAAGGTGGGGGAGGGAGGCTACACATATGAGCAAATCACCAGGGAAAGATCCCTAAGGTATCTGCCTCTTGCTTCCCCAAAGTAATCATCCCTTACAGCGGAGTTTCTCAGCCTCAACACTACTGACGTTTAGGGCCAGAGAACTCCTTGTTATTGGGGGATGTCCTGTGCATTACAGGATGTTTAGCAGTATCTCCGGTCTCCACCCACTGAAAGCCAGTAGCACACCATACCCCCTAAAGCTGTGATAACCAAAAATGTCTCCAGACACTTCCAAATGTCGTGTAGGGGGCAAAACTGCCTCTGGTTGAGAACCACTGACCTGATGGTAGTGGTACATAAGCCTGTCAGTGACAGCAGAGCTGGATCACAATGAGCAAGGTATAGGATGGAGGGAGAGCCAACATCTCGGCTACAGTATGCACAAATACCAGCAAATACACATTAAAACCTTCCCTGCATAGAACTACATACACAGAACTACGTGTGCGTACACACACACACACATTAATGCAGGTTTAGTAAAAACGGTAAAAGGTGAATAAGGTCTGTAGTCTAGTTAACGGTAAGGTACCAAAGTCAATTTCTTCCTTTTGCACTATAAACCAAAAAGGTATGTGTACAACAGCTTCCCAAGATGTTATCATTGCAGGAAGCTAGGGGAAGGGTACACGAGGCTCTTTGTAGTACTTTCCCAACTTCTTGTGAATTTTTAATTATTTCAAAATAAAAGTTAAAACAAAAAACCTTGCCCTGTGGTTTATGTGCAAGGCTTTAAAATGAGATATCTTACAAGCAAGAATACACAATGAAAGTACTTTCAGAAACATTTTTACCTCTACTATCCCAAAACATAATTTCCTCACATTGTAGGGAATGCCTTCTCTGGCATAAATAAATTAGAAAAAAGTAAAAGAGAGGAATAATTTTTTTAATATATCTATTCCTCTGAATATAACAGGTCTATACTTTTATAGATCTATAATAGTCTATACTTTTACTGAAGAAAATAGAATGCCTTGGGTATCTGGACTAAAAGTGCTGGTCATACTGAAAGTCTACTCCATCCATCTACGACAGCTTCCCATTAAAGTTCAGTCATTTAAAGTCTAGATATAGATATAATGCACATTTCCAGTTTGGATGTTTTAACAACATTACAAATATGGATTAAAATACAATATATTTAGTAAAGACTGCTAGTTAGTGTAAATGAGTTCACTGTCATATGATAATACATGGATGGGAATTATAATAAAGATGGAATAAAAAGCAGAAATTCAAAATGTGATATTCCAACTGATATTGGGACAATGTACATTTTAAACTGTTCTTAGAAAGCAGAATTGTTTATGAAATACAAGATGCTGGGGAAAATTTTTTTAAAAAGAAACGCCAATACATGTAATCAAGTTAGGTCACATGACTATGTTCCTTTTTACCTGACTGATGAGCAAGAAAAATAAGGGCAGCAGTGTACAGCAACCTCTAAAATGTACAGGGACTGATGGCGATGGTGGACATTCACTACCTTAAATTATGTGCTGTAATAGTTTAACCTCAAAGTATTCAATGTAAAATAAATACTGGAAACTGAATGCTTATACATTTTATTGAAATGGTTTGTATTTTCTTCATTTTGATGGGGAAATATTTTATTTTATTTATGTTATTTTATTTTGGAATAAAATAACAACTGATTCTGGAGGAATATATGATCAAACCATATCAAATTATATTTTATCTAGGGAATGAGATTGAGAGGGCAGAGATTTTACCCTGAACTTTCTACATTTCTGTATTTGATTAATTTGGTTAAATTGATCATATGTCACTTTTGTCATTAGGAAAGAAAGGTTAAATTAGATTACAATCCATTCAATAACTGAACAAATGCCTACAGCCTTCCCCTGTCATGATAGGGACTGAGCTACTGAAGGGTGAAGGGTTTAGCCAAGAGGAGTGCAGGTCTTGGAGGGTCTTGTTGGTTAAGCTTGAAAGTATATATCCCAAATGCACGAGGAGCTTGTCTGACTCAGGCAGGGTAAGACTGCTCACCTTTTAAGGCGCTCCAGTAGATTTCTGTATTTGTTCCTTTAAGATCAGGATACTCTGCCTCTGCTCAGGAGGCAGCATGGCGATCTGGTCTGCAGTTAGTTGAAGAACCTGCATGATCAAAGCAGCCTGTGCAGAGGAAAAAAAGGTAGTGAGTTTTAATGATGGCAGCTAAAAAAACACCACCAGCTTCTGTCCAAAAAGGAAGAACAGAGAAAGGATAGTTCACACACAAAAAACAGCAGGCCAAAAAAAAAAAAAAAATCAAACCAAACCAGAGAAAAAACTAAAACCAGCTGGTGAGAAAAGGCACAATGAAAAACACAAGTACAATGCCTAAGATCAGAAGACTCAAAACAGACACCTTAATGAACCCCAAATTCTTACAGACTAAGGTGACACCTGTGAGCCCTGGGAAGTCTACAATTTTTAATCCTGCTTTAAAAGTTTCTCCTGGGACTTCCCTGGTGGTGCAGTGGTTAAGAATCCGCCTGCCAATGTAGGGACCATGGGTTCGAGCCCTGGTCCAGGAAGATCCCACATACTGCAGAGCAACTAAGCCCATGTGCCACAACTACTGAGCCTGTGCTCTAGAGCCCGCGAGCCACAACTACTGAGCCTGCGTGCCACAACTACTGAAGCCCACGCGCCTAGAGCCCGTGCTCCGCAACAAGAGAAGCCACTGCTATGAGAAGCCTGCGCACCACAACAAAGAGTAGCCCTTGCTCGTGCAACTACAGAAAGCTCGCACATGGCAACGAAGTCCCAATGCAGCCAAAAATAAAATAAATTAAAAAAAAAAGTTTCTCCTTTTCACAAGTTTTAGCCTTTCTATCAGATATGAACTCCCTACAATGGTCAAATATAGAAACAGAAAGATATGCTCATGGGGAATCTGCTATTGTTTTTAGGGATAAGGCAAAAAAGGGAGGAAGAAAGGGATTTGGATTTCCAGGTCAATGAGGCCTGCACACAAAAAATCTACTGGCAGATGAGATGAAATGTAAGATAAGCTGCCATTCACATACATCCATTTAAGAATTTTAGGACCAAGCCCACAGATTCTCAGGTGACAAGATCATAAAGAGTTCTAAGAGTAAAAACATCACTTCCAAAGGGACTCTGAAGACCCAGGACCTCCACATGGTGACTGTGAAAAGAGGACTCCAAAAGACTCGTGCATATGGAGGCAGCTGGACAGCATTACTTACCTTCTCATGGTCCTGCGGAGTGACTTGGTTCTGGCCAGGACTAAAGCCACCAGGCTGGCCTCCACCCTGAATGCTCGCTCCTTGCATGCCCGCTCCCTGCATGACTGGGACCTATGTGCACAGAGAGAGACGAAGAGAGATTTTCGGTACTTCTCATTTAGGTAACCAGAAGCCAGTAATAACAGCAATGTGAAAAAATATCTGATTGTGGCTATGAGTTAAAAAAGCAAATTAATGACTGAATATCATTTCCTACTGTTAGCATCAGCAGAAGGCAGGGTTTAGCCAGAGATCAACTAGCAAGTTGACAAATTTCTTACAACAGCTCCAGCATCATCAACAAGTATCACACGGCACAAGTGGATACCATCAAATCAAGCAAAATTCAGCCACATAAGCACAGGGGAAACTGAGGGCATTCTAGAAACTAGCACTCAGTGGAAACAGAAACGAAAGCTGATAGATTCTAGAATAATGTATGCTGGTCCACTGGAGAAGCTACATTCACAGGGATACCACCTACCTCTAGTTCAATCAGACACAGGCCCTATCCCACAAGTAAGGCAGAGATGATCATAATGGCAGAGGCAGAAAGGAGATGGGAAGGCCTCCAGGGAAAGGACTACTATTAGCCCAACATTTGCTTTTTATAACTTTCCTCAGAGAATATGCAGCAGTTGCTTTCTGTTAAATACAGACCAAGAAACACGACTGACCTGAGTTAACAAAGTGCAGTTATATCATGCTTACTGGTACTTAAGATCTTCGATGGTTTCAATGTTTTGGAAGACAACCAGAACCCAAGGAAAAGGCCTCAGAGCACCTAGAATAACTGTTAAAAGGTCCCTATGCTGGATTTATGTTCACACTCAGGCATTTACCCAGAGCTTAGGTGGTACTCTTATTAAATACAAATTGTTAACAAACATGTTACCTGCTTCCCCAGCAGATGAGAAGCAGCAAAGCATGAAAGAAATGTGGATGAACCATTAGGAGCAGATATCATGACAGCAATGTGAAGAGCCAGGTGACAACCTGACAGTGAAGGATACCAGAAACCAAAACAGGAGATGCTATGCTTTCTATTATAGCCTATACAATAATGGGTACGTTTAATGATGACCTTGAGTAATCAAAAATGATCAAAATAATTTTTTGTATCCTGTTTAAGAAGAGAAGGAAGCATAGTATACTTCATAAATGATTTTTCATTAAAATAGTTTAAAAACTTGGTTGAATAATTCTATTATGTGGAACATTCATTTGGATGCATTAACTAATTTCCCAAAGACACCAGAGACAAGAAGCATTAGTACAGCTTTGTACAGATTGCTAGAAATTATCACTTTCTGTTCTTTATAAATACTGAATCCGGAGACCAGTCTGAACCTTAATGAGCTGTTACAGACCTGAAAAATCTATGAGAGTAACCTTTTTGAAGCTTCAGTCAATACTAATTTGAGGTACTGTAATGTGATCTAACCATTTAATAATGGCCATTTAAAGTTTCCAGAAGAGCCTGTTCTAGGCTCTCAAGTAATAATACAGCTGACTACATATCCAGGTTTGCTAAGACAGTCCCAGTTTAAGCTTCTGCCCCACAGTAATTACTAACAGCACTCTCAAATGTGTCCCTGTTTGTGGATAGTAAGTTATATAATCACCCTAGTAATAATAAGCCTTTTACCAACAAGTTTCCAACTAGGTGGACTGAAGTTAATTTTAAAATTTGATTTAAAATTATGAGTTAGGGACATATTGTTAGGTTAAAAAACAAGATGCAGAACAGTGAAAGGAGGAAAAAGTAAGAATACATATATATTCATATTTGCAAAAATAAGAATATATATTCTTATTTGCTAGAAAGATACATTATAATAAAAGTGATTATCTATAGGAGATGGGGGTCACAAGGGAGACAGGTACGAGGAGGAAGTGAGGTTCTTACTGTATATCTTTTGTACATGAGTGAATGTATTTTATGTATTTATTTATAAGTAAACATAGTAAACAATTTTTTTAAAGTTTGAAGATAAAGTTTTTATTTTCTCTACCTCAGATCTAATTGGCTTTATAGAATCTACTAATGAAAATTATAATAAACATAATATTAGAGTAATAAGTTCGAGTACTAGCAGATAAAGGAGCAAGAAATTATTGATAAATGGTCTTCCAACCATTATTTTCGACATCTTTCTCCAAAGAATTATTGACAGAACTATATAAGGACATCATGTAGTTATTTGTTATTTATCTCCCCACTAGAATATAAGCTCCATGGCGGCAGGACTTCGTTTTGTTCACACTGCTGTATCCCCAGTACCTATAGCTCTGCCTGGTATATAGTAGGTGCTCAATAAATATTTGTTGAACGACTGACTGAAAGCATAAAACCCATTTTTATTATGAGGCTACTGACCATAGAGGGTATGATAAAAATCAAAGCCCAGGAACACATTTTTTTAAGTGAAACTTGAAAAACAATAGAAAAGTTTTTTTCTATACATACCAGAAAACAACATATTCATATTTCATATTAGAGAGGAGGGATAGACACACATATACAACGTGCAGATAACAAGACAGAGTAGCATAGCGGAGAAAATAGTGGGTTCTATTCCTTGCTCTGCCACTTTTTAGTTGTGTGAATTTGGATAAGCCACCTGAATTCTTGGGTCTCAGTTTCCAAACCTATAAAATGAGAGAACTGGGTGACTGACATGTTCCATTCCAGCTCTGACAATACAGTTCTCTCTCTTGTGCATACACACACACACAAGAGGGAGTAAGGCACAGAAGCATATGGAAGAGAGAAGAGATAAAGAAGTACATAGAGGAATGAGGAAGTCACACTGAGGAAAAATGAAGGTGGAAGGGCTAGAGTGAAACGAAGGTGTTAGCCGAAAAACAAAACAAAACAAAACAAACTCAGAGGGAAGATACACATGTACTACCTCTCCGCAACCAACTGGAGGGTAAAAAGGATGGAGATAAGAACACATAGACAATCATAGACCACCATTACACATAGCTGGAGAAAGCCAAATAAAGAGAAAGAAGAGATAAGAATTTAGTTGCACAGCTTTTAAGACAAGCATTAGTAAATTGCCTTTCAACTCCACTATTCACTTTAGGCTATGTGATGAAAGTAAATTAAAATAGATTTCTGCAAACCTAAGATCAGCTAAATGACCACTAATAGCTCTTCATATGCTCTAATGCAGTGGTTCTTAGGGTTATACATTAAAATTATTTGGGGGAGATTTTTCAAATTATCCATGCCTAGATTCTACTGATGTGCTCTCTATCCCCTAAAATCAGGGATTCTGCTCTGAATGGAATTTGAAATTGTGGGACAAGGTTACACTTTTGGACTATAATCCTGGTAGTCAGAAAACCACCACCCTAAGGAACAGAGAAACTAAAGGAAGGGAGATTCTAATCTTCCCCAAAAAGCTGAGAAAACAACCCAAATCAGAAAGCAGTAATAATCAGCCTCAATAATCAATTCCTGAATAGATCAAGATTTCACATAGAAGTGACAGTTACATATACCTGTCTGGATCCCTGGGGGCCAACTGTCCCCATGTTAATTGGACTGGGACCCTGGATTCCACTAGGTATAGGGCCTCTAGGGCCTGGGACTGGGCCCCTTGTATCCATGCTTCTGGCCTCCATTCCTCTGACTTCCATTGCACGGGCCTCCATTGCACGGGCCTCCATTGCACGAGCCTCCATTGCACGGGCCTCCATCGCACGGGCTTCCAATCCTCTAGCATCTAATCCTCTTGCCTCCATGGCTCGTGCCTCCATCCCTCGTGCATCTATGCCTCGGGGATCTCTTCCACCTATAAAAAGTTGCAAGAAAACCATTGGGTAGCTACCACCTTTACTGCAATAATAACCAACAATCAAATAAACGTTCTGTATCCCAGATTGGAGCCTAAGACAGCACGATCATCATGAGCCCACAAATACCAGTCAGCCTTGTGACGTGGTTTCCCCTCACCTCTGCCATCCAATGGTGGACCCCTCTGATCTAGCATGGGTCCTCTTGGCTCTGCCATTAGAGGTCTGGGCTCAGCTAACGGCCCTCCTCGCATCTCATGTGGGGGTGGGCCACGGCTGTCATGGCCAGGGACATGGTGCATGGGCGGACCCTGATGAGGTGGTCCCAGGTAACCTCTAGAGATGGAGAAAAAAATGTTATATTTTAAAACAGAACAAAACAATAAGAAAAAAGTGTCAACCAGAAGATCAGTAAAATTAGATAAAGAGCTGATGCAAACATCAGTCTACAAATACTAACAGAATAACACAAAACAGGTCAAAGAAAAGCTATCGAGATGTAAATCCATGTATTCTAGAATTTCGTATTTGGTCAGGGCACTCAAATTAAGGAGGAATGAATGGATATCCATTATATATAATGAATACGCAGTAGGGTGCTTAAGAACATGGGTTACTGTATGGGTTCAAATCTAGGCTCTATCATTTATTAGCTGTGTGATCTTGGGCACATTTGCTTAACTTCTCTAAGCCTTAGTTTCTTCATCTGTAACATGGGACTGATATTAGTATCAATCACACAGGGCTGTTGTGTGGATTTAGTGAGATGATCTCAGTAAAGTACTCAGAGCAGATTGAGAGGCATAATCCCCACTAATACCAATTATTATTATTATTATTGCTATTATTAGTATTACTACTAACAATAAGCAATATAATTTTTTCCTGTTTAGATATGTGTGCTAGAATTTCCAATTTCTGAGGATGGAGTAGCAATGGTTAGTTCAAAATGACACACTCAACTACATAGTTCTGCCCGGGAAGTGCTTCATCTTGGACAGTGGCCATGAATATTTATTTATCTTTTGAAGTAAGCAAACAGGCACAACTGGTATGAAAAGACTTTGTTCTCAAAGCAAGCGGAAATTCTGATTCCTTCAATCTTTTCCTTCTGTGTCAGTGCTTACCTAGGCTCTACCTCTCCAGTTACAGAAAGTAAAGTGCCTCCGCGTGGGTCATTTGGAGCATCTCCCAACAGACCTCGAGGAGTTGGGACGTTGGCAGGCAAGGGCCCACGCTGCATAGCTGCTCTGGGGTCTTGCATCGGCACTGACAGGGAAACAAATGGGGAGGTACTGCTGTGAAGGACATGTAAGGCAAGAAGAAATGACTCTATATGCCACTGACAACACAGTTCAGACCCCTTAGAGTGGGTGAAACCTCACCACAACAGACTTCTCTTGCAGCTCAAGAACAGAAGCAGGGTATAGGCAGAATTTGTTCCATGTCAGAGGTATGGATGGAATTATGTAAAGAACAAACTGGGGAGCAACCTGCCAAGGCCTAGCACTGCAACCTGAAGAAACTGAGGCTCCTGGTTTTGCTTATAATCAATCTTAGTTCAAGGACCAGAGTCACAAAAGAGAGGTAGGGCCTTGGCATATGTGAACACTGCCATGGCTCTGCAAGAACCTGCTGTCTCCTTACAGATTGCTATTCCATCCAAGCCTCCTGACACCAGTAGGGAGGGAGTACAGCCTCAGACAGTTGCCCATATCATCCATGTTCTCTGCCCTGTGTGAAGAGGTCAATCTTAGGCTTGTGGCCCCAAAAGGAAAAAAAATGAAAAAACAAAAAACCCAAAACACTACCCTTTTGGGTTCCGAATGTGAGGATGACTGCCAAGCAGCCCTTTACCTCTCAACGTCCCACCCTGAACACCACAAGCAAAAGGAAACCCGCAGATACAATGGGTACCTTGGACTCGCTCAATTGATGCAGGCCCGGTGGGTCCCACGGGCGAGTGCTGTAGGGTTCCTAGGTGAGCAGTAAGTTCAAAAGGAGAAAGAACAGACACTTAAAATAGCTTTCACACACACGCAGAGGCACACAGACAGTGGAGATTTACACATATAAGTTAAAGAGCCAAGAGTTCATTAGCTTGCCCTGGGCTACAAAATCTTCCTAAACTATATAAGCTTCTTTGGGATCTGAAACTGTTCTGCTTTGATGAGATTGCTTCCTAAGGTAAAACCTGTGGGCCACTGATTTTATTTGGGCAGGAATAACCAGCCACTTTCAATTTACACCTCTCCTACTGGGATTCCCCTTAAATCTTATGATACTATGAAAAAGAGAAACAAAATATAAAAAGGATGCTTCTGAAACTCCAGTTAGGCAAAGAAGGTAAACATATTTTCATAAGCAAAAAATGAAAGAAATTGCACTGAATCTGGAAGGCAAGATTTATTCTGGAAAAGCCCATTAACAGAAGTGGCACAGTATTATTTTTGTCATAATTTAAAGCACAAAAATTTCTGCTATCAAATGGGGAAATGCAGTGAATGAACTTTAGACAAAGAAAGAGAATATTACTCCTCAAGAAGTACTCTGCCACTGTAAGTTTTTGATAAACAAACATCATGACATCAGCAAATAAAGACTAATAAGATGACAAGGGTGCCAACACTAAACAAAGGTGGCAGAAGGCAAGAAGAAGTCTCTTCTTAAACATCTCAATGTCTCTTTTCAACATTACAAATGTGTAAAAGAAGCATGGATTGCAGGAAAAGAATGACAAACTGGGTACAAATGAAAGATTCTTGCTTCCTCTGCTGGGTACTAAAGGAAAAGTATAAAAGAAAAGTCTCATTTTGTCTCTTCATGAAGACATCCTTGATATACCTTCAAAACTCAAGTCATTTCCCTTTGTTAACTTTTGACCAGAAAGGTGAAGATAACTGTATCAAGGAAGATGTCTTGTGGAAGTGTGTATTAAACAAAGTTTGATTTACTGATGGCTGGGGGAGAGGTAGAGGTATGACTGAAACTTCTAGTTCCTTCTCACTACTGCAAAAATACTTTGGGGCACATACATGATCTACTGATAGCAGCTGAGGGGGGTAGGGCACAATAGCATAAAAGCATGGTCTGCTCAGACGAGGTGTCTGGACAAAGAGCTTGTTCCATTGTCAATTGCCTGACAAGATTATTAGCTCTGTCACTTTAGCAACCAATATCAGTATACAAACCATAAACAAGGAGTACAGTGCATAGGCCTGTATCTTAGTACTTTGCTTAAAAAAAAAAAAGGGTTTTGGGGAATTCCCTAGCAGTCCAGTGGTTAGGACTCAGCACTTTCATTGCCATGGCACAGGTTCAATCCCTGGTTGGGGAACTAAGATCCTGCAAGCCACATGGTGTGGCCAAAAAAAAATCAATTAAAAAAAATTTTTTAATGGGTTTTACTTATAGACCATATGCTAATAAGAAGTAACTTAAGCTTCCCTACACTTGTCCAAAGCAGTTCTTTCTCATCACAAGGACACAATGAATAAGAACAGAAGACACTGGAAGGAAACAGAAGCAGTGTGATTGACAGAAAGAGGATAGATTTCAGAGTCAGGGACTTTGGAATCTTAGCTCTGCCACTTATTAGCTGGAAAAGAAGACGAATGCACCAAGCCCAGGCCACGTTACTCAGATACCAGTATTTACTTACCATGTCCCCTTGAGGAAGTAACTCAGAACTCTGAGCTTCCAGCTCTTCACCTGAAAACTGAGGTGCTGCCACCTAACTCACAAGGTTGTTTATGAAAATTAAAGTGCATGGCCTATAGGATGCACTCAGTTTTGTTAGTTCCTTCTGTTTTCTCACTCTCTCTCTTCCTGATATTGGTTTCAACCGAATCACTGCATTTTCTTTTCTTCAAACTCCAGTAACATAGAGAAATAACGTGGACATTTTGGAGCGGCTGCCACTGTGGTATCCAGTGTTACTGCCACAGTATAACATACACTTACCAAGCAGGCTTCACAGACCTTTGACCCCCTCCCAGTTTTCTCTGGGGTTTAAATTTAGTCTTCCACATACCCAGTCACATATTACATGGTCATAATTAAAATTCCTTACTCAGATCTCCATGTAAGTAGAGGCATTAAACTATCAGGGAAAGGCGACATAAATTAAATAGAAACAAAGGATCAATTTGCTTCATCATCAATTCTTGTAGAGCTGGGCTCTGAATCACTAGATAGAAGTCGAGACAGTGCTGCCCAACAGAATTTTCTGCAATGATGGAAGTGTTCTATATCTGCAATATCCAGTATGGTATTCACTAGCCACATGCGGCTACTGAGCACTCAGAATGTGGCTACTGTGAATGAGGAACTGAGTTTTACATTTTACCTAATTTCAATTTAATTAATTTAATATTTGAATAGCCACATGTGGTTAGTGGCTGCCATATCAGATAGTACAGATATAGAACATTTCCATGTCTAGTCCACATTAATCGGACATTAATATTTATTTACCTTGTCCCCGCTCCATGGACACTGGTCCACTTCCTGGCATTCCAACCTGGGCCTGCATTCCTCCTAGAAGATAAAGGGCAGGAAAGAAAAACAAATTGGGACAGTGGGGAAAAAATTTGGACAGTGGCTGAGTTAACAAATTTCCTCTTTCTGCCCCACAAGCAGAAACCTATACAGGAAGATCATAAGTACCACTAAATGCAGTTATACAGAAGATGGAGTTTGTTACTGTACTTTAGCCATTGGTGACAGAAAAGTGAGTTAAAGAAGAATTCGTAATCTCACTGGTTACCAAAACTTTGGCAGGGGGCTTCCCTGGTGGCACAGTGGTTGAGTCCGCCTGCCGATGCAGGGGACGCGAGTTCGTGCCCCGGTCCGGGAAGATCCCACATGCCGCGGAGCGGCTGGGCCCGTGAGCCATGGCCGCTGAGCCTGCGTGTCCAGAGCCTGTGCTCCGCAATGGGAGAGGCCACAACAGTGAGAGGCCCGCGTACCACACAAAAAAAAAACTTTGGCAGGGAGTTCTGTAATACAGAACAATGGCACTTACCCATGTACCTCCTCCCACAGGAGGCACTACTGTTCCCAGTTTACTTTGTAAATGGGGGGGTACACTGTTGCAGTTGTGACAAAGATTTGTGGGGGCACGCCTGGCATTTTATGAGAAGCCAACAGGGATACTAGATGTCCTGCAACGTATGAGACAATTCTGCAAAATCAAGGATTACCCTGTCTTGCAAAACTTTCAAACGTCTTGCTAAACATTCACACAAATGAAAACCTTTTTTATAGTCATCTAAACTTAAAACTTGTCTGTTTTATTTGTAAACAAAGCGCTTCTTTGTCCAGTTTTTACACACACACACACACACACACACACACACACACACACATTGAATTTTCCAAGAATGCAATTACTGAGTAAATTATGGGTATTGTATCTTGTTTTGTTAAGAACTTTACCAAGAGTTTTCATTTTCACCATTCAGAAAATCACATCATCAATGTCAACAGTCCTTGTGGTATCTGAATTGCCAAAACAACATACCTGGGTCTGTCTTTTACTTTTATAGTATTGGTGCAAGCATCTGACTGCTATTTATTGTTTTCTAGTGTAGCTGTGCTTGAATACTTGCGTATTTATAATATTCTTTTACTATAAATTAATTTCCTTTTACTTCTCCTTTATATTATAGTTAGGGTAACTATACTGATTTTTTGGAAGCCATGTTAAGTATGCTATGTCACCTGTGCATTTCATTTCAGGATAGTAAAGGGTCACTGCAAGATATGTTACAAAAAGGAGCCACTGGGTCTAATAGTGTTGAGAATGACACGTCTGCTCTAACCAGCAGGGCTATGATTGCTATACAAAGACTAAACATGTACCATAAGTCCTTGTCTGGTCCTTCCCACGTAGCAATAATTCTGTTTTCCTCAAAGGAACAATATATGCTGCGAGTGGGGAGAAAAGACAAGCTGAACTGTTTGCAGTTCATTAATACTCACCTAAAATACCCAAGTACAATACATGTCACATTCTCTTATCCCATTTAACATGCCAGGCACCAAAGAGCCATGAATTAAGAACCTGAGTCTGTGCTAGCCCTACCAATGCTACTAAGTAATTGTCATTTTGAACAACTGATTTGATAAAATTAACATACCCTCAGGCTTCCTCATCTGTAAAGTGAACGAGTTTATTTAAACAGTGTTTTCTCAGAATGTGGTCCCAGACCAGCAGCGTCAGCATCACCAGAGACTTGTCAGAACTGCAAAGCTTAGAGCTCTACCTCAGACCTGCTGAAATGCAAACTCTGGGTGTGGAGACCAGCAATTTGTGTTTTCATAAGCCCTTCAGGTGATGCTAATGCACACTAACATTTGAGGTCTAAATGATTTCAAAGCTCTCTTCTAGCTATAACATTCTATGATTTATTCAGACCACTCATCAAAACAATACAAAAATTTAGGATCTGAGGAAAGCAATGGCAGAAGGCAATATGGGTAATTTATCATACTACACTATCACATAATGGCACTTTTATCTATATGGACTAGCTTCCCAGAAGTAGAATTGGTGGGTCAAAGTGTATATGAATTTTTAATGTGAGACTACTTTCTTAAAAGGCTTAAAAAGTTCACATTTCCACCAGCAATGTATACTACCACTCTCCCCACCAATATTAAGTGTCATCTCTGAAACTTTTGCTAGTAGGACGGGTTTAAGTAAAGTGAAATCTCGTTATTTAATTCGAAATCCCCTGAATATAAATGAATGTTTATTGCCATTTGGATTTGCTCTTCTATGATGTGCTCTTCTATGAAGTACCTACTCATTTTCTTTGCCTACTTTTCTACTAGTTTGTTCCCTCTTCTCATCAACAGCCAAAGAGCTTCGTACAGGGTATCTCAAAAATTGTAGTGAAGTTTTAAGTTTCAATAACTTCAGAACTATAAATGCTACAAACGCATAAAAAATATCACTTGAAAATTCAATTATTTAAGTTTCTTTTACACTTACTTTCAACTTTTGTATTTATTAATTCCCTCTTCTTGGTACCTTGGGTTTTTTAAAAATTATTTTTCTAATACTTTAGAACTAGCAGAGTTCCTTTGTTCTTTAATAAGGCACTTAAGGGTATTCATTTTCGTTTAAGTACTGCTTTCACTATTTCCTGCACTTTTTTGTATGAAGTGTACTACTTTTTGTTGTCTTTTAGATAATTTATAAATATCTTTTTATTTTCTCTTTTAATTCAAGGATTACCAAGAATATGTTCCTTAACTTTACAAGTAAAGGTTCTTTCCAGTCACCTTTAAATTATTTATTTCTAACTTTATTGGCTTATAATCAGAGAATGCAGCCTGTAAAATCTCTACATTTTAAAATTTGTTTTTATTTTATGGCTAAGTACATGGTCATTTTTTTAATGGGGGGAGTATATTTTCCAATCAAAAGATATAAGGCTCCCTCTCTATATTAAATCAAGCTTATTGATTCCATTATTTTATTTCTCAACATCCTTACTTATTTTTTGTCTACAGATTTTTTTTGTCAGTGTGGTCTACAAATGACAATGATACACACTGTATGTTAACAGTTCGTGATTGTTAACTACAGAAATGGAGAGTAGACACTTTTATAGCAACTTGACATTGCTGTGACATCCAAGTGCATGACATGTACTTGTCTCACTGAACAGGGTATAGACCAGTTTGGGTGTTTTTCAACTCATGTAATGAGCTGCATATGTCATGGGTTGCACACTTGTTATGTGTAGTAGGATCACATTACAACTTGTGATATTTTAAGGTAAGCTAGGTACCTATAGCACAAAAAATGTATAAAACACAGAATCTATTTCTTTCAATAAAAGATAATTTAAGTTTAATGGTAACTCTATAGGATAAGTGAAAATCCCTTCTCCCATTCCCTGTCAACTTAGCTCTTTAGACTGGTTTCTCTATAAACCAGAACAATTTAAGGCCAAATTATTGCCCATTAGTTGTGTTGTAGTAAATCTAACCCAGATTAGATAAATTAACAAGAAGTGAGTTTGTTGTGCAAAAAACTTTAAATACTGATACACATCGTATGTTCATACTGGTGTTTTATATGAGGAATCACCTATTTCACCCATAACTTTTTAAGTTATGATTGTTAAATGACGAAAAGCTACAAGCGCAATATTAATTCCTATATACACAATTTTAGTGAACATATTAGTTTTTAGAATTCTTTTTCCCTTTTGTTGTTTGGTCTAATTATATTTCATGAAATCCAATGTTATGTTTGTTACATATAATAACAAATGCAACCAGGCATTTTGCTTCTGTTTTTTTTCCCGCATGTACTTTTTAACCTAATCTGACAGTCTGGCTTTTAGTGGGAGAATTCAGTCCATTCACATTTAGCAGAATAATGACTATATGAGATTTTATTCCTTCTACCTTAACTCTATGTTTATTATTACTTACTTCACAATGTAATTTTCTTTTCTCTATATTTGCTGGCTTGGTGTAGTTTCCATTCATTCTATTTTTTCCCCTCATTAACTTGGAATTTTACTGTACTTTTCCAATTTACTGTTCTTTCCTCTGCTCTCATAATCAGACATATAGGATGTGTATATAAGAAATCAACTACTTCTTCCACCTAGGATATATACTGCCTAGCTATACATTAATTTAATATCAAGATCTCGTTGCCACATAATAATTTGGCTACACTCTGCCATTTGCTATAACAAAACTCTAGCAAAATACCAAAATGGTGAAAATTCTAAATGAAAACGTACCTCCAGGAGCTAAGGAACCAGGCCCAGGTCCTGTTACAGTGGCTGGTATCTGCCCTGGTGCTGCAACTCCAGCCTGTAGAGAAGCTTGCATCAGAGGAGGTGCGCCATTGACATGCATTCCACTCTGACCAAGAGAAAAACCAGAGTATGTATATGCCCCTGTGAAGACTCAACACACAAAGTCTATGACCTTAAATAACTCTTCAAATTGACACCCCCAAATAGTCTACCAAATACCCTTTTCTGACAGCACGTCTCATGCAGCATTAGATTTATAACACACTTTGAACAGAAGCTGTAATACATGCAATGAGCCTGGTTACACAGAACACAATTACGACAGACAGTACTATAAAAGCAGAGGTTGACAAGTCTTATCTGTGTGGTGAGGCCATATATAGCACCTATTTGTTGACTTAGAGACGAGGGCCTGGCAGTAAAAGTTTTAAAAAAAAGTGCCTTGAATGCAAGAAGAAATGAGGACTTAAAAAAAAAAACAAAACAGAACTGCTGGTAGTCTACATTTTTAAGATGAAAAATTTTCTTTGACCAATCTTTTCTCATTGCTGTCCTCAGAAATAGTTCTACTTGGGAGGGGGATGTAAAATTTTTCTAATGCTACATTAAAGCTCCGGAGGAAAAGGGAATGTTATGTTTTCATTTGTGTATTCCCAAAAGAACTGAGCAGCCCCTTGGAATAGAAAAATAAAAACTAAGATATATATAAATATTTAAAAAATTACATATATTCTCAGAGAACACAAACAAAACTCTAGAATAGAAAAGAGGAAACTGTAGAGTGAGGTGGTTAAGAGAAAACAGGTTATGATGTCAGACAGAACCAGATTCAGATCCTGGATTTGCCACTTAGATTGTTATTTTTGGAGCAGTTAACCTCTCTGGACCTTAATTTATTTCCTTTCTATTTCTGAAAAAGTATTTATTGAATCAGAGCAGGGGATAGTAAACTATGACCCATGGGCCAAATCTGGCTCACTGCTTGGTTTCATAAATAGTTTCATTGGAATGCAATCATGCACATTTGTTTATGTACTGTCTGTGGTTCATTTCACACTCCAATGGCAGAGCTGAGTAGTTAAGACAAATTCCACGACCTGCAAAGCCAAAAAATATTTACTATTTGGCCATTTAGAAGATGTTTGCTGACCCTCACCATAACTTTTGTATGAGCCATCCAAATTGTTTACCTCTGCCCATCTAACAGGTGAAAAATGATAGCTTATTGTACTTCATTCACATTTATCTTATTTTGAGGCTGAATACTTTTCATACATTTAATATATATTTGTATTTCCATTCTTATGAACTGTTCATGTCCATTGCATAGTTTTCTACTGGGTTATTGGTAATTTTCTTACTAATTTATAGGAGGTGTTTTTTAATATGAAAAATTTCAGACATATAAGTTGTATAGAGAATAAAATAACCACATAGCTTAGGAAACAAATCACATACATAATTGAAATCTCCTGTATGGTCTTCCCCATTGCATCCTGTATCCCCTTCTTAGACAACCACTTAAGAATTCTTATAGATGTTTTGAAATTTTATGTACACCATTACATACTAAACACATTCTTTGCAACTCACTCAACATGTTCTTGGGATATGTACAGACACATACATCCTGTATTTTGGAAATACTTCCACATTCACTTATTTTCACTTCTGTATGGCATTATGTTTTTGAGTTACCTGTGTTGATACCATGTATCCTAGTTCATCCTAACTGCTATATGAAACTACATTTTTGAAAGTCATTCACGGTGACACATGTAGTTTATTTAACTGTTGTAGAGTATTTCATTGGATAAATATACCACATTTTCTCCATTCTTTCATTGCTGTACATTTAGGATGTTTCCAATTTTTCACTATTAAAATGTGGCAATAAACATTCTTGAATATGACTAATGGCCCTTAGGTAATCAGCCTGCTGTCCATCACGTGTGTGGCAAATACTTTTTCCCAATTTGTCATTTGTCTTTGGTGTTTATTTCTTTTTCTCTGTTCAGAAGTTTTTCAGTTTTCAAATATACCAATTTTTCATGGCTTCAGGGTTTTGTGTCACACTTGGAAAATAAGCTTTACTTTTTTCATCAGTGGGAATGGAGATAAGAAGAGTGCCGACCTCATACAACCGCTCTAAGTATTAAATGAGACAATGTATATGGAATAACAAAGTGCCAACCACAGTGCCACACATGCACATATACACAAAATCAGCTTATAAAAAAAGGGCATAAAGGAAGGATCTCTGTTTTACAAACTTGGCACTAAATCTGTATTCATTCAGATGTCATGTACTCTGCAACCCTGTTAACTGCTTTTATGCCTGGAAACTGAAATTATCATCTCTGGCTGCTCACCATTCTTCTTCCAATATATCCTCCTAAAATGAAAATGACATTTTCAAGGCAGTTCAAAAATGTTAAGGGATAAAGTCCTACCAAAGACTGGGCCTGAGGGGCCTGAGGATTCTGCTGGTTCATCGACACATTGGATCCTGAGCCAGGTCCGGCGCTGTGGACCGTCTGAGGGTTGCCTGCAATCAGTGTTGGGATATTTGTCTGGCGATGCAGAATTTTCTAAAAAAATGAAAAGACAAATCTATGAGCTGTCTGTTTCTACCCCACTCAAGGTTTACCCTAGCATTTCCATAAAAGAACCAGAAGCACTCACCAAGGCAATTTCTGGATCCACAATTCTCATCACTACCTGGGCTTGTAGCAAAGCATAAGCCAGTTGAGGGTTCTGAAGCAACATGTTCCGTGCTTCCTGAGGACTATTCTGGACACAGAGCTGTGAAGATAAACAGATTCATCATCAGGTTCAAAACTTATTACTCAGAAATTGACAGTGATTTAGAGCTATTCCCATCTGAGAAATGTAATATTCAAGAGGCTTTTAAAGCTATTATCAGTTTTTACATAGCACACAAAATCTTGGTCATGGCAGGCAAGAGAAGGAAGAGGCATTTCAAATACCATAATAACACCATTTAGGAAAAAAGCCACATTTTAACATCTACATTTGATATCTATGGGCCACAAAAACCCTGCCAGATTGTGTAGGTGTGTTTGTGTACAAAAAATGGAAAGCTCTTTGTATGAAATATACAATACACTGTGCACATATGGAATACTGAAGGTGCAAGAAATGTTGGTCAACAGGCACACTTTCTATTTGAGCTCAGGAAATCATTTCCATTAACTCAATGTTAATTTCCATTAACATCAATGACTTCTTGAAGAGTTGATATGCTATGATTTTCCATAACCTAATGCCTCCTTTTACCTTCATTTGTTTCATCAGCTCAAACATCTGCTCTGGTGGAAGACTGGCAACTGCTTTGCTAATGGACTCAGGGGCATCCTCAGGACTGATGGTCTCTCCATAAGGTGACTCAATGACAGGGGCACCAGTGCCAAGGCCTGATTGGGAAGAAAGTACAAAAACATTAAGGAGGCAAATTAAAGAGCTAAATCATTTCAAGTATCTACTTTCCAGGGTTGCTGTAAGGACCTGTTGATAACTTTAAATTTTCTGGAGCTTAGAAATAAGTGACTTGCAGGACTTCCCTGGTGGCGCAGTGGTTAAGAATCCGCCTGCCAATGCAGGAGACACGGGTTCAATCCCTGGTCAGGGAAGATCCCACATGCCACAGAGCAGCTAAGCCCGTGTGCCACAACTACTGAGCCCACGTGCCACAACTACTGAAGCCCATGTGCCCCTGAAGTCTGTGCTCCACAATAAGCCACCACAATGAGAAGCCTGTGCAGTGGAACGAAGAGTAGCCCCCGCTCAATGCAACTGGAGAAAGCCCATGCGCAGCAACGAAGACCCAACGTGACTAAAAATAAATAAATAAATAAATAAATTTTTTTTTAAAAAAAAGAAAAGAGGGCTTCCCTGGTGGTGCAGTGGTTGGGAGTCCGCCTGCCGATGCAGGGGATGCGGGTTCGTGCCCCAGTCCGGGAAGATCCCACATGCCGCAGAGCGGCTGGGCCTGTGAGCCATGGCCACTGGGAGAGGCCACAGCAGTGAGAGGCCCGCGTGCCGCAAAAAAAAAAAAAAAAAAAGAAAAAGAAAAGAAATAAGTGACTTGCAAGTCTTTTATTTCTGTGTAGGAAAGTGACAAAGTGTATTTTCTACTCTCAAAGGAAAGCTGAGACCAGGATTGTATAGATGAACAATGTTAACATAAATTAGGGACTAGGGATATCCATTTCCTTTCACAAGTCATTTCAGGAGCAAAAGTTTCAAATAGAAAAAAAATCTAATTTCAAAATGGAATTTCTGGATCTATTACCTCATGAAAAAAGCCATGAGAATGCCTCGGTATCCCCATCAGTTACACATCTGGCAACATTACAGGAGTGGCAAACACTAATGACAGACATAGTTAACATAACTAATGGCGTGGTAAACCTGTAATTCATCTTCAACTGGAAATCAACTCCTTGGCAATGGAAGGACTTAAGTCAACTTTACCTTATTTCTCAAAGATACACACTTCCCTAATACAGGTACCTCAGGTGGGTCAGGTAAAGAAGCTGTGTGGCTGACAACCATTTCAGCAGATGCTAAAACATATCATTAAGTGGAAAATCTTCATTGTTACATCTTTACTAACTCATGTTGCACACAGCTTGGGTTTATACTCACTCTTCAGCTCTTCTTTGTTCTTTTCGCTGGCAGCATTGTCCACTCGAAGTGCTCTCCCACTGAATTCGCGCCCATTTAGGTTTCGCATGGCACTAAGTGCTGTCTCCTGGTCTTGGTATTCACAGAAGCCATAACCTTTTGGCTTTCCTGTCTCCCTATCATATACCAACCTGGAGAGCAGAACCAAGTGTCAGGCACAAGTGTTACATACACACAGGGTTCCCACTAACATTGCCATGTTCTAATTTGATCTACCATAAGACAAATAACCTTATCGCTCTGTCTCACTGAAATACTTTTTACACATCTTTTTAAGTGAAAAAAAATGTATCTTTTAGTAAAAATGAATGTGAATTGTAAGATATGTGAATTACGTCTCAATAAAGCTGTTACAAACAAACAAGAAGAATGCATGTGAAAACTCACCAGTAAAAGGCTTGCCATTATTACTAAGGGCCAAATTTGTGGTGATTTTAAAGAAACTTCCACCAAGTGGTAAAAGGGGAATCTCACCTGAAACTAACAACAGGTCCAACCTCAGAAAAGATGTCCTTTAATTGCTCTTCAGTAGCCTCATATGGAATGTTCCCCACTAAGGAAGAAAATAGATAACATATCAAAACTCTGAGTTTGTAACCTAGATCTTTAGTGAGAAAGTATCTACATATATCACTGAAAATGTAACAACTTAGCACAGGGAGATCAGCTAGGTGGTTTGTGACCACCTAGAGGGGTGGGATAGGGAGGATGGGAGGGAGGGAGACGTAAGTGGGAAGAGATATGGGAACATATGTACATGTATAACTGATTCACTTTGTTACAAAGCAGAAACTAACACGCCATTGTAAAGCAATTATACTCCAATAAAGATGTTAAAAAAAAAAAAGAAAATGTAACAACTGGTTCAAATACAGTGTTCCTCCAATCCTGGTTCCACCGTATTCCCTTAGACAAGATTTCAATCCTGTCTGCTGACTTTATTTACAAGAGAAATAAACCAGTTAGACTAAACACAAAAGGTGTAGGCACTCCTAAGTATCAGTTCTCAGACTTAACTGATATGTGTTAGATTTTCCTTAACTATGGTGAAAATAAATACTTAGGCATTAGTATTTACCTGAAGGTGTTTAAGTCTTATCAATAACTACTAAAAATGTCAATATTATAATTTTTAAAGCCGGCTCATATGTCCGTATTTCTACATATACACGCACTCAAAGGAGAATGACCATGAATGTACTGGAGGATGTTTAAAAATTGTTGTAAATCAACTATAGTTCCGTAAAAAAATATATATATATATATATTCTGCACTGTTTTGTCATGTTCCTTCCAAAAGATGCTTTAAAATCACCACACATACTTTAAAATAAACAACTTATTTTGGCTGAAAAGATTACTCAGAATAGACTCCACCCTCTTTAAAATTTCTTCGATGAGGTCTTAGTCTTTCATTCATTCATTTATTTACAATCCACCTTAAGACGCCGGGTAGTCGCTACCACTAACGACGAACTAAAATGTAACGGGGAAAAAGCAGAGGATGAAAGCCCTTATGAGAGGGCGGGAAGTGGACACAAGGATCTATACCCTTAGCACACAACCTGTATTCTGGGACTGGGGGTGAGAAGTAGTACGGGACAGTTGCCATGAGCCCTCGCTTCTGGATAATAATTGAAGCTCATGAAAAGAGAAACGCATATAAGCTGAACGCTGGTGTAACTTCCTCAGCCACATCGTGAAAAGGCTGCGAAACCTCGGGGGAAGGGGAGCATCACTTTGCCCACGAGTCCACCAGGCTGGCCGCCTGGGATAGGCAGGTCGAACTGCAAGCCCCGCGGCGATGTGTGAGGTGCAGGGGGGCATTCCTCGCCGATCCCTGTCTTTTTCTGTCCCTCCCCGATGCTTGGCTCCACCGAATTCCTCTCACCAAACACCGAACGTAGAGAACGATCCACCGCAGGGTCTCTCACAGTCAAACCCGCCATCGCTCTCTTCCAACGGCTTCCGGTGCGCCAGAGCACACTTCCGTACGGCGCGTGAGCCCAGCGCCGAACACGCTTCCGTACGGCGCGTGAGCCGGAAACTCCTGGGCCCGAGGGACGCAGGGTCCCTCCCCCGGCGTTATTCCGTCAGCAGCCGGCAAGCGTTACATCCACGAGAGTGCTACTCCCCCAGCTTCCCCGGCCCTGGGCTCCCGCCTGAGAATAACTTGGTTCTGAGCTGGAGCTCGGCTGATTTGAAGGCTTTTAGTATGTAGAATTCCTTATTACTCATTTTTTTCTTAGGCTAACGCAAGTAATTGTCGACCACAATAATGAGGCGGCGGCGGCTTTACCATGGTAACAGGGAAGTCCTATGGTAAACAACCGTGGCATTTTCATTTTAGTTCCGCCCTGTTACGGGAGGGAAACGCTTGGCCACGCCCCAGCGGCGTGCGTTTTATTCTTTTGCAAAAGCTGTGAACCTTCAGGGCGACATGAGGAAAGACAGTCGCGGCAGCCTAGAGGATGAGGGGCGCTCAACGTCAAGGCGGCCACATAGCTGAGGAGATGGGGAGGTAAACGCGGAAGACACCCCTACCTGCTCTCGTGCAGGCTCTGGGCTTCAAGTGTTTCGTGGTGGTGAGGGGGCGGGGCGGCGGAGGACGTTGGCAGGCAGGGTATCTGAAAACTTCGGAACGGAAAATATCTTTGACTGGTTGTACATCGGGAGCAGCTAAGATGATTTTAACTTGGGTTGCTTTGGCTCCAGAGGCTGCATGTTTAAATGCTGTATCTACTGCCTACCAGTATAACTCAGAATTTTTAATGGCGTAAGTTTTTTTTTTTAAACCGTTTTTGGAAAAGAACTTAGAGCATAGGGCCTGGTGATGGTGGATCACTGTCTCATAATAATGAACCACCGAAGAATAGGTTGAGGCGCTTAGCCAGGGCTTGTTCTGCCATCAACCATTTGTGGAGAATGGATTGTTGGTTCTATCACTTCATCAACCACCCCTACTGGTTATAGAGGAAGACATGTGTACAAGGGCTATTTCCTAAGCTTTTGGTTTTTTATATTTGTGTTTCAGTTATAGACCATGTGCCTGTGACCCCATGCCTCATTGCTGTTGTCCATGAGGGTCTTTTCCCTTCATTGCTACGCTCCCAGAGTGACACATTTCTTTTGCCTCCAGGTTGTAGCAAAATGAAGACAGAAGGTGTTGTCTGATGCTGTTGTAGGTATTATGACTGAACCTCAGTTAACACAAGGAAATAGGTGCTGTATGAAGAGGTAGGGGAAAAACTAGGAAAGATGCATTTCTACACAAATGGGACTAAGTGTTATTTGGGGGCTTTGAGCAGAAGAGAAAGGGTATGTAGTGGAGAATCAAAGAATTTGGGAAACCACGGGCAAGATTTGTGGGGCATTGGCAGAAAGTTTTGTGGTAAAGTCCTGAGTTCTTATCCAGTTTTGTTAATGGCACTAAGAATATTGGATAAGGTACCAGTGAAGCAAACAAAGACATTCAAGATTGTGAGGGCACAGAGACTTGGGTTATTTATCCTGGCCATGAAAGGTCATACTTCCAAGGCTGGAGTAAGTGTTGCTTATGTTTGGTCCACATTTAAATTTCCTCAGACAGTCATGGAATGAAATCTCCCTTTGGAAGGCAGAAACCTATGGATAGACAACATTTCACAAAAAAGATTCCAAATAGAACTGTAGCATTACCCAAGTTAGGAGGAATCCTCTGGTGCCTGCAAGACATAAGGTAACTTGGGGCCCTCAGAAAGCACGTGAATGTTGACACAGATCCTGGTCAGTATCTGGCTATAGGTACCAATTGGCTAGCTTTCCAGAAAGAAACATCATTCCTAGGTTTTGCACTACTGCATTATTACAGTGGTTCTGCACCAATATTTATACTTTCTGAGAATGTTTGAGGGTTCAGGTTTGAGGCTACTCTACAGATAATTGTCTAACCCATCAAAGCTGGTTATTCTGGTCTTTCAGCTTTAGCATTTTCATTTATATTTCTTATGTAACTACTTCTCAGTTCATGCTCAGTGAATATATTTCCTGTATTCCTTTCCCAGAATCCTGTTCCTTCAAAGGAGGTTCAGGATTGTTCACCTGCTCAAAGGCTGCCTCATTAAATATGTTGCTAGGTAGCAGGCCAGGGAGTTGGGTGGTCAGTTGAATTGGAGGATTTCCTTTGTTCTTGGCAGTGGCATGCTGACCTCTTGTTGCTGAATGAGGACTGTTTCCAAACCAAGCATTGGGAAAAACTGAGTAAGAGGGGAAGAAGTCTTTTGAGTTTTTTCTCTAGGAGCCACCAGGCTTGTCTGAAACTTTTGTCTGTTTGGGGGCTTGTTCTGTTTCAGAACCAGAACTCTGGGATACCATTGCCTTGGCACATGGAATTCAGGGCCTAGCAAGATGAAGGTGGATATCACTGGATAGCACTTAAACTCCAACAGTATGCTGCTAGGTGAGCATGGCTCGGTTGAGCATGTGGATAATGGCATCAGGCTGGGGTAAACAGGGTGGTGATTAAAAAGAGCTAATATTTGTGAAGGGCCATATAGATTACAAAGCTTTTTTACATAGATCTCACTTGATTCTCACAAAACCTGGGAGATGGTTTTAGTATGCTATCTTTTTGTGGTAAAATATACATAACAAAATTTACAGTTTTAACCTTTTTTTTTTTTTTTTTTTTTTGTGGTACATGGGCCTCTCACTGTTGTGGCCTCTCCTGTTGTGGAGCACAGGCTCTGGACGCGCAGGCCCAGCGGCCATGGATCACGGGCCCAGCCGCTCTGTGGCACGTGGGATCTTCCCAGACCGTGGCACGAACCCGTGTCCCCTGCATTGGCAGGCGGACTCTCAACCACTGCGCCACCAGGGAAGCCCAGTTTTAACCATTTTTAAGTGCATAGTTCGGTGGCATTAAGAATATTCACTTTGTGCAACTATCATCATTCTCCATCTCCAGAACTTTCGTATTTTCACAAACTGAAACTCCATACCCATCAAACACTAATGCCCCATTGTCTCCTCCCCCCAGCCCCTGGCAACCACCATTCTACTTTGTCTCTATGAATTTGACTACGCTACATACCTCATATAAGTGGAATCGTAACACTGTTTTTCTTTTTGTGATTTATTTCAGTTAGCATAATGTCTTCAAGGTTCATTTATGTTGTAGCATGTATCAGAATTTCCTTCCTTTTTAAGGCTGAATAATATTCCATTGTGTGTATATACCACATTTTGTTTATCCATTCATGCATTGATGAATACTTGGATTACTTCCACCTTTTGACTATTGTGAATAATGCTGCTATGAACATGGGTGTACAAATATCTGTTTGAGTCCCTGCTTTTAATTCTTTTGGATATATACTCAGAAGTGGAATTGCTAGATCTTGTGGTAATTCTATGTTTAATTTTTTGAGAAACCATCATACTGTTTTCCACAGTGGCTGCACCATTTTACATTCCCACCAGGAATGCACAGGGGTTCCCATTTCATCCTCACCAACATTTGTTATTTTCTGGTTTGTTTTTTTGATAATAGCCACCCTAAAAAGTATGAAGTGGTATTACATTGTGGTTTTGATTTGCATTTCTGTACTATATTGGAAAAACCTACTGTTCTCCTCTCCTGTGTGTCTCCATTACTTTCACATAGAACACTTTACTTTTGACACTTCTGGTCACCAAATATGTGGTGGGGGATTTTCCCCACAACAAGCAATTCTCTGTGACACCAGCTGGGTGTCATACAGTTTAACTCAATTCTGACACTGTCTACCTGGAGATAGCATCAGATTCACAGGTTAAGGGCTCAGTCCCACAAGACTGCTTTCCACCCCCACTTATGCCAGTCACAAGCCCAGGTTATCACCTGTGTTTTTGACTAATTGGCTATAAATCAGAGGTTCCAGCGACTTCCTCCTTGGGTTCAGTTAATTTGCTAGAGTGGCTCATAGAACTCGGGAGAACAGTTACTTTTGTCAGTTTACTAAAGGATATGACAAAGGATACAGTTGAACAGCCATTTGAAGAGATATATAGGGTGAGTTCTTCAAGGGTCCCAAGTGCAGGAGCTTCTGTCTCTGAAGAGTTGGGGGTACATCATTCTCCTGGTATGTGGATGTGTTCATCCACCTGGAAGCTCTTCGAACCCCCTACTTTGGGGATTTTTATGAAGGCTTTGTCACATAGGCATGATCAATTATTACTCCATTTCCAGCTTCTCTCCCCTCTCTGGAGGAGGGGGAGGGGGCAGAGCCAAAAATTCCAAGCTTCTGATCATGGCTTGGTTATTCTGGTGACCAGCCCCCATCCAGGAGCTCACCCAGAGTTGCCTCATTAGAACAAAAAATGCTGCTAGTGCTCTTATCATTTAGGAATTTATGAGGCTTTTAGGAGTCCTATGTAAGGGATGGGGTCAAAGACCAAATATTAGAACAAGAGATGCTCCTAGTGCTCTTAGGAAAAGGTTTTAGGAGCTCTGTGCCAGGAACCGGGGACATAACCAAATATATATATTTTCTGTTATCTAACACCTAAGGATTAATGAGGTTGAATGTCTTTTCATGTGCTTATTGGCCATTTGTAGATCTTCTTTGGAGAAATATCTATTTAAGTCCTTTTCCCATTTTTTAATCTGGTTGTTTGTTTTTTTTTGTTGTCGTTGAGTTGTAGGAGTTTTTAAAAATATATTCTGGATCCTAATCCCATATCAGATATATGATTTCCAAATATTTTTCCCATTCTGTGGGTTGTCTTTTTACTGTGTTGGTAGTGTCCTTTGGATACACGAAAGTTTTAAATTTTGATGGAGTTCAACTTATCTATTTTTTTATTTGTTACCTGTGCATTTGGTATCATTTCCAAGAAATCTTTGCCAAAACCAGTGTCATAAAACTTTTCTTCTATGTTTTCTTCTGAGAGTTTTATAGGTTTAGCTCTTACATTTAGATCTTTGGTCCAGTTTGAGTTAATTTTTGTATATGGTTTAAGGTAAAGGTCCAACTTTATCCTTTAGCATGTGGATATCCAATATTCCCAGCGCCATTTGTTCAAAAGACTGCCCTTTCCCCATTGAATGGTCTTGACACCCTTGTTGAAAATCATTTGACCATTGACCATATATGTAAGCGTTTATTTCTGGACTCCCTATTCTATTCCATTGATCTATATGTCTGTCTTATGCCAGTGCCACACTGTTTTGATCATCGTACAATAGATTTGTAGTAAGTTTTGAAATCAGGAAGTGTGAGAACTCCAACTTTGTTCTTTTTCAAGATTGTTTTAACTTCAAAATCCCTTGGGATTCCATGTGACTTCTAGGATAGATTTTTTAAAAAATTTCTTCCAAAATGTCATTGGGATTTTAATAGGGATTGCTTTGAATTTGTAGATTGCTTTTGGTGGTATTGACATCATAACAATATTGCATCTTCCAACTCATGAACATGGATGTCTTTCTATTTATTTGTGTATTCCTTAATTTCTTTCAGTAACCTTCTGTAATTTTCAGCATAAAAGTCACCTTCTTGGTTAAGTTTAATCCTGAGTATTTTATTGTTTTTTATATATATATATTTGAAATATAACATTATATTATTTTCAGGTGTACAACATAATGATTCAATATTTGTATATATTGCAAAATGATCACCACAGTAAGTCTAGTTAACAGTCATCACCACACATAATTAAAACTTTCTTGTCTTGTGATGAGAACTTTTAATATCTACTCTCTTAGCAACTTTCAGGTACACAATGCAGTATTACTAACTATATTCACCATGCTTTACATTACATCCCAGGTCATATTTATTTTATAACTGGAAGTTTGTATCTTTTGACCACCTTCACCCTCTGGCAACCACCAGTCTGTTCTAACTATGAGGTGTTTGTTTTTTTTTTTTTTTTGGATTCCACATGTAAGAGAGCTCATATGGTATTTCTCTGACTTATGTCACGTAGCGTAGTGCCCTCAAGGTCCATCCGTGTTGTCACAAATGGCAAGATTTACTTCTTTTTAATGGTTGAATAATGTTCCATTGTATATGTATACTACATTTTCTTTATCCATTCATCCATCCATGGACACTTAGGTTGCTTCCATATCTTGGCTATTGTAAATAAAGCTGCAATGAATATTGGGGTGCATATATTTTTTCAAGTTAGTGTTTTTGTTTCCTTCAGATAAATACCCAAAAGTGGAATTGCTAGATCATGTAGTAGTTCTATTTTTAATTTTTTGAGGAAACTCCATACTGTTTTCCATAGTGGCTGTACCAATTTACATTTCCATCAACAGTGCACAACAGTTCCCTTTTCTCCACACCCTCACCAACACTTGTTATGTCTTGTCTTTTTGATAATAGCCATTCCGACAGATGTGAGGTGATATCTCATTGTGGTTTTTGATTTGCATTTCCCAGAAGACTAGTTGTGTTGAGTACCTTTTCATGTATGTTGACCACGTGTATGTCTTCTTTGGAAAAAAGTCCGTTCAGATCCTCTGCCCATTTTTTAATCGGATTGTTTGCTTTTTTCCCTTTTGAGTGTTATGAGTTCTTTTTATATTTTGGATATTAACCCCTTATCAGATACATGATCTGCAAATGTTTTCTCCCATGTGGTAGGTTACCTTTTCATTTTGTTGATGATTTCCTTTGCTGTACAGAAGCTTTTTGGTTTGATGTAGTCCCACTTGTTTATTTTTGGTTTTGTTCCTCTACTTACTCTTTTTGATGCTATTATAAATGGAATTGTTTTCTTAATTTCCTATACAGATTGTTCATTCTTAGTGTATAGAAATGCAACTGGCTTTTGTATGTTATATTTTACACATTAAATATATATATTTTTTAATTAAAAATGTGTAAAAACATTACTACAGAAACATTAACTAAGTTCAGAAGTGAACTGAGTTATTATTTATAAGTGGGCCCTTCAATATGATTTTAATATTTGGGAAAATATATTTTAGTAATTCTGATGAAATTTAGAATTCCAGTATTCTGGGTTTTTTTTGTTTTTCTTTTTAATTTTTATTGGGGTATAATTGATTTACAATGTTGTGTTAGTTTCAGGTGTACAGCAAAGTGAATCTGTTATACAAATACATATATCCACGCTTTTTTAGATTCTTTTCCCATATAGGCCATTACAGAGTGTTGAGTAGAGATCCCTGTGCTGTACAGTAGATGCTCATTAGTTACCTTTTTTATATATATATATATATATACACACACACACACACACACACACACACACGCACACACACACACACACACACACATACATATGTGTGTGTGTGTATGTGTCAATCCTAATCTTCAAATTTATCTCTTCTCCCCCCTTACCCCCCAGTAACCATAAGTTTATTTTCTACATCTGTAACTCTATTTTGGTTTTGTATATAAGTTCATTTGTAGGCTTTTTTAATTTTAATTAATTTATTTTTTTAACATTTTTATTGGAGTATAATTGTGTAGGCTTTTTTAGATTCCACATATAAGCGATATCATATGATATTTGTCTCTCTCTGTCTGAGTTACTTCACTCAGTATGAGAATCTCTAGGTCCATCCATGTTGCTGCAAGTGGCATTATTTTGTTCTTTTTTATGGCTGAGTAATATTCCACTGTATATATATACCATATCTTCTTTACCCATTCCTCTTTTGATGGACATTTAGGTTGCTTCCATGTCCTGACTATTGTGAGTAGTGCTGCAATGAATATTGTGGTGCAAGTAACTTTTCAAATTATGGTTTTCTCTGGATATATGCCCAGGAGTGGGATTGCTGGATCAAATGATAGCTCTGTTTTTAGTTTCTTAAGGAACCTATACTGTTCTCCATAGTGGATGTACCAGTTTGCATTCCCACCTACAGTGTAGGAGGGTTCCCTTTTCTCCACACCCTCTCCAGCATTTATTGTTTGTAGGTTTTTTGATGATGGCCATTTTGACTGGTGTGAAGTAATACCTCATTGTAGCTTTGATTTGCATTTCTCTAATAATTAGTGATGTTGAGCATCTTTTCATGTGCTTTTTAACCATCTGTATGTCTTCTTTGGGGAAATGTCTGTTTAGATCCTCTGCCCATTTTTTGATTGGATTGTTTGTTTTTTTGATATTGAGCTTCATGTGTTGTTTGTATATTTTGGAGACTAAAACCTTGTCGGTTGCTTCGTTTGCAAACATTTTCTCCCATTCTGAGGGTTTTCTTTTTGTTTTGTTTATGGTTTCATTTGTGTGCAAAAACTTTTAAGTTTAATTAGGTCCCATTTGTTTACTTTTGTTATTTTGCAGCAAACTCTGCAAGTTTGCTGAGTTCATTTATTAGTTCTAATGAGTTTTTTCAGGGGGAGGAATATTTAGGCTGTTCTCCATATGAGATCATGTCATCTGCAAACAGGTAATTTTAGTTCTTCCTTTCCAATTTGGATGCCTTTTATTTAATTTTCTTGCCTAATTTCTATGGCTAAAACTTCCTTTTCGATGTTGAATATTATTCATCTGAGAGTGTCTTAATTTCTCTCTCATTTCTGAAGGACAGTTTTGCCAGATACAGAATTCTCAGTTGACATTTATTCTTTCAGCCCTATAAATATATTATCTCACTTCTTTTGGTCTCTGAGGTTTCCACTGAGAAATTTGCTGATCATCTTATTGAGGATCCCTTGCACATAAGAGTAGCTTTTTCATGGTCCTTTCAAGATTCTCACTATAGCTGTTGACAGTTTGATTATAATGTATCTTGGCATAGGCCTCTTTCAGTTTATCTTACTTAGAGTTCATTGAGATTCTTGGACTTGTGAATCCATGTTTTTCCTCAAATTTGAGAAGTTTTCAGCCATTATTTCTTCAAATAACCTCTCTGCTCTTCTTTTCTTTCTTTCAACCTCTGGGACTCTCATAATGCATATGTTGTTTGATTATGTCCCATTAATCTTTTAATCTCTGTCCACTTCATTCTTTTTTGCTCCTCAGACTTGATAATTTCAAATGATAACTTCAGCTTCACTGATTGTTTCTTCTTGTTTCAGTCTGTTGTTGAACCCCTCTAGTGAATATTTTAGTTGTTACTATATTTTCAGCTCTAGAATTTCTTTTTTGTTCCTTTTTATAATTTTTGTTTCTTTTTTGGTATTCTCATTTTAAAAATATATTCCTTTCCTCATTCCTTTGGTTCTTTGTGTTTTCCTTTAGTTCTCTGAACATATTTAAGATAATTGTTTTAGTCTTTGTTTGATACTTCTAGTACCTGTGCTTTTTCAGGGACAGTTTCTGCCACTTTATTTTCTTCCTTTGAATGTGGCATATTTTCCTATTTCTTTGTATGCTTTGTGATTTTTTAAATTGAAAATTGGGTATTTGAAAAAAACAGCCTTGCAGGTAGGCTGTGTGCTGGGGAAGACATTTACTAATAAGCAAGGCTTGCTCTGGGCCTTGGGATCAGCCTCGTGTCAAGGCTTAAAGTCTTCTTGGACCTTTTCTAGGCGTACGTCTTGCCTAGGCCACTGTGTGTGCTTTTTCAATTCCCTAAAATACACATCTGTTTTTAAGTGTCTTACTTTCCAAAAGACTCTCACCACTGCTTCTTCTGGCGGCCATTAATGTTCTGTTGTGCTCCTCTGCCTCTAATCTCTTGCCCCGGATGTTGCGAGACTATAGTCCCTCTGCAGCTTTCTCGAGCGGTGTCCACTATCTCCTGTCTTTTCCTAGCCTGAGATCCGAGCTATACCGCTTTTCTCTTTCTGAACTCTAAGAGACCAGTACCTTAGGCAGCCCCTAGACAGATTAGAACATTGCAAAAAAGGTTCACCTTCCTCTTCTTTCCAGTTAGAGGGAGGGAATTGACAGCCAGGCCACTGCATCTCCCAGACTGTGCTTCCGTGCACTACAGGGGAAGGAGAGGTGGGGTACAAGTAAGTAAAAATACCACGAAATTTCCTTCCATTTCCTGTGTGGCTTTTTCTTGATTAAGCTTTCGCTTGGTTGCTATAGACTGTTTTCCAGATCTCCTGTAAAGTTATTTTTTGCTAATTTCTAGTTGGTTTTTTAAAAATGTTAATGTGGGTGGGGGTAGGAGAGCCTGGAGTTTCCTAGTTTACCAACTTACAGATATCACTGAAATAAACAGTATTCTATCTGTTTTATAAACAGAGATACCAGTGTTTAGATAGTGACTTATACAAGGTTCACAATTAATGAGGACAAAAGCTGGGCTTTGATTCTATTTCTTTTTCCAGGTTTTGTGATTTTTTTTAAAATAAACTTTGAGTCTGTCATGCAGAGTGAAGTAAGTCAGAAAGAGAAAGACAGATACCGTATGCTAACACATAGGAAAAAGATGTCATGAAGAAAGAACCTAGGGGTAAGACAGGAATAAAGACACAGACCTACTAGAAAATGGACTTGAGGATATGGGGAGGGGGAAGGGTAAGCTGTAACAAAGTGAGAGAGAGGCATGGACATATATAGACTACCAAACATAAAATAGCTAGCTAGTGGGAAGCAGCCGCATAGCACAGGGAGATCAGCTCGGTGCTTTGTGACCACCTAGAGGGGTGGGATAGGGAGGGTGGGAGGGAGGGAGACGCAAGAGGGAAGAGATACGGGAACATATGTATAACTGATTCACTTTGTTATAAAGCAGAAACTAACACACCGTTGTAAAGCAATTATACTCCAATAAAGATGTAAAGAAATAAATAAACTTTGTATTTTAGGATAGTTTTAGATTTACCAGAAAGTTCCAAAAATAGTACAGAGAGTTCCCATATCCACCCACTCCCTGCCCTGCACACAGTTACCCATTTTATCAACGTGTTTCATTAGTATGGTACATTTGCTACGATCAGTGAACCCATATTGATGAACTAAAGTCCATACTGTTTTTCGGATCTCCTTAGTTTTTACTTAATGTATTTTTCTGTTCTAGGATCCAGTCCAGGACACTACGTTAGATTGTTCTCATGTCTCCTTTGGTTCCTGTTGATTGTGGCAGTTTCTCAGAATTTCTTTGTTTTGATGACCTTGACAGTATTGAGGAGTACTATTCAGGTATTTTGTAGACTGTGCCTCAATTGGGATTTGTCTGATTTTTTTCCTCATGATGAGAATGGGGTTATGGGTGTTTGGGAGAAAGACCACAAAGGTAAAATACCATTCTCATCATATATCAAGGCTTTGATGAGCTGACCAGCCTTTACCAGCTTTTTCCTCCATATAGTTATTTTCCCCACTTTCTATACTCTATTCTTCGGAAGTTAGTCACTAAGTCCAGCCCACTTTCAAGAAGGATTGGGGAAGATTAAGCTCCATTTCCTGGAGGGTGAGAATCTACATAAATTATTTAGCATTCTTCTATAAGGAAGAATTATTTATTTTGTTTCTCAAATTGTTCCAGCTTTGTTCATTAGAAACTCTTTCACATTGGACCCTATATCCCTTTGGCATGTCCCCATTGTTTTGTTCTTTGAGCACTTCCTTACTTTCTGGCACTACAGGTTGCTCATTTTGTATATTCCCTGCCACAGCCATGGGAGAACCAGCCATTTCTCCAAGGAGACCTGGTTCCTTTTATTAAATCAGAATGTCTTCCAGAATATGAAAGATCTAGATGACTGTAATAGAACTAGTGGAAACCCATTTGTAGGGGTATGTGTGTGTAGGTGGTGGTTAACAGGAGCAAAAGAAAAAGGGAAATCTGGAAGGGTCATAATCCAATTCTCTTGAATGATAGTTTACTATCCATTTGGAGGCAATTTAAGAGCACAAACTAAGAGATACCTTGGGTTCAGATGCCAGCTCTGTCACTTTCTAGCTGTGTGTCTGTGAACCTCAGTTTCCTCATCTGTAATGTGGATATAATAACCTCATGAGGTTGTTGGGATGATGATGAAGTGATTTATTTATTTATGTATTTATGTACTTACCACACTCTGTGGCATGTGGGATTTTAGTTCCCCGACCAGGGATCGAACCTGCGCCCCCTGCAGTGGAAGCACAGAATCTTAACCACTGGACCGCCAGGGAAGTCCTGATGATTAAGTGATTTAGAACACAAGCTTTTGCACAGTGCCTTGCACATGGTAAGCATTCACATCTTAGCTATTCTTCTTTTTTTTTTTTTTTTAGCTATTATTCTTAGTTTCAGTTCTTGTCTGAACTAGCTACTGTAATGTTACGAACAACTGTGAGCTCTCACTTTTTAAATTTGATGCCTTTGTTATTCAACTTCCTTCTTGTTATATTTCTTTCCCTAGGAATGATTTTCGTGGGACCCAGTGCATCTTCTCATTTGAGATATCACCGAGAAGCTGTGAGTGATGTCATTGCCCTGTACTGGAGAAGCACTGGTGTGTGGGGGTCTCTATGCAGGTGATGATTCTAGGGACCATGGGCTTGAAGTAGCAGCCTATTCCCCAGACCGCTATTCAGGTCCAGTCCACTCTTGAATCAGTGTTTTTCTTCAAGGCCATGAGAAAATTCTGTTGTTCAAATATGGTATATTCGTATTAAAGTGCAGTGAACTCCAAATCTGTTTTTGTTAATAGAATAAAAATTCTTTATCACCTTCCCGGCAAATTTAATGTCCCCTTGTCAGGTTAACTCTTTAAAATGTAAGAAGAAATTGTCTTCCTTTTGATCATGCGATTCTCCTCCTAAAGGCTCTTCCTGTTTCACTGTGGATGAAGTCTAAAGTCCTCCTCCTGAATGTCAGCACCCCCTATTAGATTGCCACATTTTTTATACCCATGAACCTTCTCCCATGACTCCCATGCCTGACATGTTTTCTCATAATTTCCTTCACTAGACTGTCATTCAAATAACTTTTTAAACTCTGCCCAGAGTAATGTAAAGAGTGCTAATACCTCCCTATCTACTGTCTTTTGAACACTGCTGTTCAGTTATTACCTAGAGTGCACTGGCCTTTGGTATGTGTATGGTATAAATACTCAAAGTATTCAACATTTGGTTGTGTTTCTATATATCTTCTAAATATTTGTATTAATGTTGTCTTCTCCCTAAAGAACATGTATGTAAGTACCCCAGTCAATATAGTACTAAGTATCTGCTTATTGATAATGAGGAGGAAGATAAAGATAGGTCTAGAGTATAGTCATTGACAAATTTGAATAAGGGGACTTCTTACATCTGAGGTAGTCAGTGTCTCTGCCTTCTTAAGTCCCTTGGCTGTGATTATAGGAAATTAACTCCCAGCTCAGTCCACAGCTGGGTGTTCCTTCAAGAAGATTGCTATTTCTGAGTCTTAGAGCTTGGAACCTATATTTATGGTTGGCCACTTGGGATCCATAATCTCAACCAGTGTCTAATCTTCCTGTAGGGATTGACTATTTTACATTACCATTCCTAGTTTATGCTGATGCTGCCTTCATCCATGCCTGTGATTGGAATCCTCATGCTGTACCTGCTCTGAGAAAAAAATCTAGAGATAAATGGAGTAGCAGATCGGTGCCAAATATACTTTGAAGATAACGGGAAGGTGAGTGCAGGGGAAATATATCTTTTGAGTGACTTTCCACATATACTACCAGGCAGTGACTTTCAGAAAATATCCAAAGTAAGACCAACTGTGTTGTTTACCTTCATCATCTCACCATACAAAGCACTGTTCTTATATTGAATGATTTCACTCATAGAATTTGAGTGATACATGTAGATAGTTAGTTGCATGTAATTGGGTAAAGGAGAAGATTGGTAAGCAGCCAAGGTCTGGAACTAGTACAGAAAGATAATAAAATGGTTGAAGTAAAACTATGGGACTTCAGATTTTTAATGCTGTTTAAAAGATGTGGATTGCCTGCTCTAAAAGAAATTAGAGAGGAAAATGATGGGAGAAATGTTAAGTTGGAGTGAAAACTCATGAAAAATGAGTCTTCCTTATTTCCTACAAAATAAAGTGGAGAAGCATTTGTTTCTTTGTTTTTCTTCTTTTCAAAATACACAAGTGGAAAAGAGAATTCGGAAAATCGTCATAGTCATTTTCCCTCTTGCTGTGCTATGGCTATGTCCTTTTTGAAAGTACTGCTGTTGTTCCTCATTTCATTTTCTTTACACCTCTTGTAGCTGAAACTGTTGCACATTGCTGACAGGATAGTTCTTGGGCTGGTCCTTAACTCTGAAGAAGGCTGGTTCATTGCCTGCCAAATGTTACACCAGGACACTGGAGGCATTTTGCATGTCCACCGAAATGTGGAACCTTGCCTGCAGAAGAATCTAGCTTCCTGGAAGCAGGGACATAGAAGAGAAGCAGCACTGTTAGTATCCTCAGCAAATTATCAATGACAAGTGGAAATATAAAGCTACTAGGGTGTCTGTGAGGGAAATGCTGGTGGTAGTCACCGAACTACAGTGGCAAAGGTGGGCTCAACCTGTAGAAACTCACGTTGCCATTCTCTACCAACAAGAGCACAGTAAACTGTGTAAGACACAGATCTTGCATATTCAGCTAGTAAAATCCTGTGGTGCCCATGTGGATCACGGAGTTCTGGATATGAACTGCCACCCCTGTCCTCTAATTGACTAGAGGAGGTGAATCCAGGGGCACAAGGGTTCCATCTGTGAGTAAGCTTCCATAGTTGATTCCTTTAATTTATTAGTTCAACTCAAGTTGTAATCCCCTTGTCTCCTAGTGATATGTTTTAATTTTTTTAAGAAAAAACAGCTTTATTGAACTATAATTCACACTTAAAGTATACAATTCAGTGGTTTTTAGTATACTCACAGAGTTCTGGAACCATCACCACAGTCAATTTTAGAATATTTTTGTCACCTCAAAAGAAACCCTATAACCTTTAGCTATAAGCACCCCAATCCCCTATTCCCTCTAGCCCTGGGCAACCACTAATGTATATTTTGTCTCTGTTTGCCTATTCTGGACATTTCATATAAATAGAATATATGGTCCTTTGTGACTGGCTCCTTTTACTTAGCATAATGTTTTAAGGTTCGTCCATGTAGTAGCACATATTAGTACTTCATTCCATATGTATGTGAGAGAGAGAGTGTGTGTGTGTGCACATGCATGCATGCACATAACAGCTATATTGAGACATTATTCATATAACATACAATTCACACATTTAAAGTGAACAATTCAATGGTATTTAGTATAATCACAGAGGTATGCAAATATCAGTCATTTTAGATAAATTTAGAACACCTGTTTTCAGTTCCTTTGGGGAATGTACCTAGGAGTGGAATTGCTAGGTCATATGGTAATTCTGTGTTTAACTTTTTGAGAAAGTGCCAAGCTTTCCAGAGTGGCTGTACCATTTTATAATCCCACAAGCAATGTACAAAGTTTCCATTTCCTCCACATCCTTATCAACACTTGTTACTTTGTTTTTTTGCTTATGACCAGCCTAGTGGGTGTGAAGTGGTATCTCCTTGTGGTTTAGTTCTGCATTTCTCTAATAATGCTGTTGAACATTTTTTCATTTGCTTGCTGGCCATTTGTATAACTTCTTTGGAAAATGTCTATTCAAGTCTTTTGTCCACTTTTTAATTGGGCTGTCAATATGTTGTTGAATTGTAAGAGCTCTTTATATATTCAAGATATTAGAACCTTATTAGATGCCTGATTTGCATATATTTCCTTCCATTCTTTGGGGTTTTTTTAAGACTTAATTTTTTTGTGTGTGTGGAGCAGTTCATAGAAAATTCAAGAGAAAGGTACAGAGATTTCCCATGTACCTCCTGCCTCTATACATACATAGCCTCCCCCATTTTTAACATACCCCACCAGAGTGGTACTTTTATTACAACTGATGAATCTGTATCAACACATAGTAATTACCCAAAGTTCATAGTTTATCTTAGTGTTCACTCTTGATGCTGTACATTCTGTGGGTTTGGGCAAATGTATAATGACTTATGTCAGTCATTGTAATATCATACAGAATATTTCCACTGCCTTAAAAAATCCTGTGTACTCAGTACCACCACTCACCCCACAATCCCTGGATACCACTGATCTTTTTTTACTGTTTCTACAGTTTTGCCTTTTCCAGAATGTTATATAGTTGGAATGATAC